GCTGTTTGGGGCCTGCCACACAACAATATGAAAGTGAAAAATGAGTTTGCTCAAGTTTTCCCCTTTATGGGAAAGTCGGAGAAAAAATGTTTTAGTTTCGCCTTAGCTGACAACAAAGTTTTGTTGCTCCGAAACCAATTTGTCTTATTGGTGGGGACGCAGGGCAAGATTTATGAAAGATGCTCTCTGCAGCAAAGCCTGCCATGTAAAACAGCCAGACTCTACACAGAAAAGTTCATTTCAGAGAAATAGCTAGTGGGGAATACTAGCAAAAAATCTAATTTTTGGTGACTACAAGTTATATTTTTTTTTACATTTTTATACCATTTCCGGAGATAATTTTAGCAGATATTTTCAATTGATTACCAGGTATTTCTAGGATTAATAAAATTCGTTTTTAATATAAAAACTGTACATCTACAGACACTAAATGGAACATATTCTGTGGCACAAATCCGAGTTAAGCAGTTAATTAGCATCGCTGATCAAAGGAAAAGACAGCCACTGCCTGCGGCTCTGCGTGTTGCGATTTCATAAACGGTTCTTAGCAAATTTTAACCTTCTGAGAACAGCAAAGCATTCTCCATTTGCAGGCATTCCGTGTACCTGCCGTTCCTCAGCTCCCGCTCACATGCAGGCAATTTGCTAATGTGTACGTGCAGGACTCGACTCCTGCCACAAAGAAATTAACCGACTGGCGGTGAAGGGTTGCCGGAATTGGCAAGCACGCAAGGACGCAGGGCACAATGCGATAACGGAGAGCATAAAGCAGACGAAAGCTGAATGCACAACAAGGAGATAAGTGGGCGTGGGCCGGTGAATAAAAGAGTAAAGTGAGTAAAGTTTGCAGTGGATTCATAAGTTTTCCTCTACGTTTTTCAGCGATATATTTTCTTCTTTTTTTGTTGAAGAAACAGAAAAATCGTTGTGTCTTGTTCAGGTCATATTTCCTTGGGTCTTGGACCTGTGTGTCACTCCAGGGAAATTTTCGTATCACGAAGGCAAGAAAATTGCTAGTTTCCGAAATTTCAGCTGCTGAAGTTCCCTGGCTGCTTTTCGGTTTGGTTTTTTCGGCTTCTGGCATTCGTTCTGGCATGCAATATGCAAATCGGCTTGGCTGGGAACCGTGAGAACTGCTCTGGAAATTGCAATGCTAATGAAACCCCAACATCGCCTGGATGTCCGCACCTCAACTTCTGTGAGGGCTTCTGTATAAGCCACCTTTCCCGGATCGGAACCCTAAATAGGTGCTAATGCCCGGTCCAAATGGCCAGACAGCCGAATACTTATGTCGTTAACTTTTACAGCCGTTTTTATAACTTCTCGGGCCATGATGTCCCTGCCGCGCCACACATCACAGATCCTAGTTAGCATCCTGCAAAGTTTCGGCTGCGTGTTGGCAATTTATGCAACAGTTTGACAACATAAAAGTTTATTACATAACTTGCACTGCCCAAATGTTGTTTGAGGCGGGGGTCAGCCGGATGATGCTGGGACCAGACACTATCCATCTCGTACTCGTACTTATGGCTATAAAAATATATCCCTAACTCCGCTGACCAGGGTACAAGAGGAGGATATCAGCCACAAGTAAAATTGTAATGTGCCCACATTTTGATTTAGTTTGGAGGATTTGCGACTTGGGAAGGGGGAGAGGAGAGACACCTAGATGTAGGTAGTGGCTCTAAGTGGCGCTTATACAAAATTATGCATATCAAGTTTATGGCTGGCAGCCATTTCACACACAAAAACACACACCAGCTCGCCAACTCACCAGCTCGGTTGTCTGCACATAAAGTAGAGTAGGGAGCGTTTTGCATATATTACGCAGTGTACCCTGTCATTGTGTGGTGGAGCCTGGAGTCTATTTCTATTTTATTCGCATTTTACTCACATTTTATTTTATGCTGCAACAACACAATTTCCCAGCGCTCAAATTGCGAAATGCACAATGCAAAGATTTATTTTCTGCTGACAAACAGAGCGTCATTTGTTGGTAATCGATGGACGAGAGCCCCGACTTGCAGACTCCTAGTAAGCGTCTTGCTGTTGGTCTGTTTGTCTAGCTGATTATGCATCTATGTACATACATACATAGATGGGCGGCTGGCAATGAATGGCTCCGGATTATTGCTTAGTTGACAGGCCAAAGACAGTGGCTGCAAATCAAGGAATTCCTTGCGATCCCGTCTAATTTATTATCATTTTTACGACTAATGCAGGGCTTACACAAAAGGCGGATCGAAATTGGACCGGGAAATGGAAATGGAAGTGGGATGGAAATGGAAATGGAAATGTATGCCATGCATAAATCATAACGGAGCTCTGCCGCGGCTCTGTGTGCCTGCGTCTGTGTCTGTGCGTATCCTTTTGTGCTTGATTAACGTCAACTGTTTATGGTTATTTATTTTGTGCTGCATACTTTTGGGGCACTTCCTTCTCGCTCGGATTACTTCCGCTATTCGGCAGATAACCGGGCCAATTACCTTGGGACGCCCAGATATGAATGATTTCCACAACCATTAAGCTTAAATCCTAAGCTGAACATTGTTCTTCCAGACAAGAGTTAAGTCTTGTTCGACTTTCTTTTCCCGCCCCCGCAAAACTTTCGTTAAGAAAACCCCTACTTCCGGCGCAAACTTTTCAATTAAAAAGGATATCAAGGAGGAGGTCACACAACAACCGAACCAGATTCCAGCCATGTGTCAAAATTCAAAGTCACTGAAAATCTCGGAAAATTGAAATTCTCCGCTCAGATGCCAACAATTTGGTTATATAAACTTTTCAAATAATTTATGCCATTTGGCGAATACTTGCCTAACGCCAGAAGTTTGCGAATAAAAAGTGAAATTCATGGCCGAAATGTCGGCAAGGAGGCGAGAATGTGCGATTACGCACTCAGACGATATAAAAAGTAAACGCTGCGAGTATAAAATAATAGAAAAAAGGGAATTAAAGGACATCAAAGTGAAATTTATGCGGAAACAAAGACTCCGGGAGTCAGGAGTCCGGAGTCCGGACGAAGCTGTAAATTGGCAGGCTTTGTTTGTATGGGTGACACGCACGAAAGGCTCAAATACAAAACACAAGGACACATGTGCGGATTCGGTTTATTTTTTGGCAAACTGTTTAAAATTCTGCGTATGTATGTGGCGGCGCCTGGCAAAAATTTCAAATGCCTTATTTTCGTACATTTTTTTCACTTTTGCCATGGAAACTTTTACGAATCGCAATAATTTTGCTTGAAGGCCGCTCTCGTATCCGTATGTGTGTGTATACACACACTTGAGCAGCGGACTATTAGCACATACACACACGGACAAGGGACGAGAAAAGGGCAAGGAAACGCAGAAAATAAAACCAAAATGGCAAACAAAACAAATACAACATAACACACAAAGCGGAATACAACAAAAAATAACGGAAAAGGAATACTAAAAAAGAATAGGAACTAGACTAGAGAGTGGGTAAGGCAGAAGAGGCGAAAGAGAGAAAGCCAGGCAAATAATACAGGCAAATGGGCGAGAAAAAAACAAAGCGACGACGTTGCGTCTGTGACTAACGGTCATTGATGAGAGGGGTGGCTCGGGTAGTTCGGGTGGATCGGACGGGTGGCTCGGCTGTTTTCGGGGACTGCGTGTTGGCAGAGAGCGAAAGCAGCTTAGCGCTTACTTCATAGTTTACGCGCAGCCAAACGACAACAAGACTGCCAAATGCTATTGATTTTCTAGCTATCCGCTGCCATCTTTCACCGGGGTTCCTTCTTTGCCTCCGCCTCCCGGATAGGCTCCGATATCCGGAAAGGTGCGTGCCAAGGACCAGAACGGGAGCGGAGCCATAGATAGCCCGGCTCAGCCAGGTCATCGCTGTGAACTCCGAAGACGGGCGCACAGACTACTACAAATCGGATTTGTGTGAGTAATTGGCACGTCGCATTCACGCTTTCTTCTATTCTTTTTTTTTTTTTTGGGCCTGAAAACGTATAGCAGCAAAAAATAACAAAAACAAGACAACAGGAAGTTGTTGGGTGTGAAACCTCAGCAACGACGGGATAGCAAAAAAGTTGGGCAAATAAAAGCGCAATTGCGTTATATATGCCACAGCACACACAGAGCAAAAAACGAGGTCCATATATGCATTAAGGATTCCCCTGGGTAATCCCATTAAAAAACATTTCAAACTCTTTTAAAGTATACCCCAGGATAGTGGATATTGGTGATTTCTGATTCTAATTAAATCGAGCGGAATGAATTTTTGCAAAACAATTGAAATGAGTTCCCTTTTATTGAATTTTTCTGTATCAGTTTTAAACAACAAAGGACTTTAAAATCAGCTGAGAAGCTTTTACATATTAAACAATATTTAAAGGTTTGCATATATTAATTCTTTTTAAATTTATAAAATTTTAATGAATAAATACAGCATAATCTATAGCAGTTTTTATGATTGATTCAATAATCTATCTTTCTTTAAGGGTAAAAACAAGGGTTTAAACAGTTTCAAGTATTTGGTAAAAATCATAAACTGTAATCTTTTAAATAATTTATATTTAATATTATGTAAAGGTACACATATATAAATTCTTTCCTGATATATTTAACTTGAACGAACAAATACAACATAATCTATTGCAGTTTTAATGACTACAACTGACTTTAAAGGTCAACAAATATAATGATAAACATAACCAAGATGAAAAAATATTTATCTTTCATTTTACTTTAAAAAAATATCTGAAAAACATTTGTGTAATTAGGATCTCTTAAGATCCCTTCAAAAGCCCAAGCTTTTCTCCGTGCATCCACTTGTTCTCACACACTTGCCCCTCGGTGCGCTGGCAAATGTCAGCAGTCACCAGTCAGCTTAAGGCGTATTATGGATGGGAGACAGACAGGAAGACGGCAAACTGGGAGGCGGAGACTCAGACGGAGAATCCGACTCCGGTGGAAGCGGAAACGGAGACAGTAAACGGGGCTGCCGCGAAGCCATTTGGGACTTACCTCATCGATAAACTCAAAATCGCCGCCCGTCTCGCCGACGTACTTCTTCTTTCTGGCCTCCGAGCTGCCAATCAGACTGGATGACATCAACACCAGCGCGAGACAAGCGCTGGCAATCAGCGGCGAGTGTTTCATGGCTGATGAACGGCGTCCTGAAACAGGAAAAGGAGGATGGCGACGGTGCCGCTGGCAGAGGCTGAGGAAGTGCTTTAAGGGATTCCCTGTTGACAGGTTCCGCTCTCGGTGTCTTAATCGCCGTGCTAGCCCGTGGAAAACTACGGACGTCTTCGGTTTACGCACTCACGCTCACGCACTGGCGCTATCCACACGCACACACGGAAAGTAACTATGAATGACAATGAGTTTTGGTTTTTGGTTTTTGCTTTTGCAATCGCAGGCGCCTCCGCGGATACAGTGCAGCCTGGACACGGAATACTAGAGAACTGAAGGCGACGCGGCCGAAACGTAAACTGAGCGCCTTTGCCTAGAGATTCTGAGTGGCAGCCATCGCGGCAGCATTGGAATTTTGCGACACAAGCACAGAGCTTTAAGAGAGCGTCAGGATGCGTTAAGAGAGCAGGCCTGGAACACCCTGGATTCGGCTAGAGTTGTCACAAAAACTTTAGAAAATACAAAGGTTAAAATTATATTAGTTTCTTAATAGAATTCATAATATCATAGCTAAAAGCTACAAATTAAAATACAAATTTTTAAAATTTTGAATAATTATTAGGCAAACGCAGGTTATATTTTGTATTTCATCGATTTTAATATTTATCTGCTTTATATTATTATTTAAATATCAAAACATTCTCCACTCTTTAGAACAGTGTACCCCACTGCGTATGCGCAATGTGTCCTGGCTCTCTTTCTCTCATGGCGTCGCCACCATCCCCCTTCCGTTACAGCAACAACTGCCTGGCACTTCCAGACTGCCACCACCAACAAAACAGACATGCAAAATCGATTTTCCGGCCTCTCTTCTGGCCTCCCAGCGTCAGAGCTCTGGAATGCGAGCTCTCTTAAGCGATAATTGCTGGAGCCAAGGCAGCGGGTCGTGAACCTGCTACTGGCGCCTAATGCGACTTCGCATCCCAAATGGACTTGAGCTGTTGTTGCTAGTGTCGCTGGCTGTTGATTTTTATGTATTGGCGCTTGGCACACTTGGACCGGGCTGCTGTTGGCCGGGAAACCCCAAAACCATTTAACGCGTCAGCGTCAGCATCAACATCATCAGCATGAGCGCGCCTCAGAGGCTGGCCAACGCTGGTCCTCTAGCCGCGGCGGCCCTGTAGCCAAAGTCCCAGCCACGTTGTAGCCGGACCCAGACCCGTAGGCTCTGTCAGTTTCAAATTAATAGCCACGCACACACACTTCTCCGTTCTGGGGTGTGCATTTATTATGTGAGTGAGCCTGTGCTTGCCTACTTTCGTCCTCGTCCTCGTCCTCATCGTTGTCGTCGCCACCGCGCCGCTCCTCTGCTCTTCCGTCGCTGCTCTATTATAATGGCATCATTGACTTGTGCTTTGATGGCTGCTTTGGCCCGGACAGGGCTTCGTTCGCCATGCTATCAGAGGGCCGGGCCCCTCCCATGTGTGTGTGTGCTCCAGTCCGCCTCCACTTGATCCCTATTTCTGTAGGGAAGGCTGGCGCCGGTAGCTGCCTTTTTTGAATATTCGACTCACACAGGCTATTGCTGCCTTGAAGTCCGTCCCTTTTGCACTACGGGATAGTAACTTGCCGAAATTTGTCGGTCGCCATGGGGCTTTAAACTCCGCTCTGCTGGTCACAGTCACAGCCGGAAAGCTTCTCTTGTAAAACTTTACATTTTATTGGATTTCCAAATGATTTTCAATCAACAAGTCCATGTTATGCAATATGTAGTAATGTATGTGTGGGTGTGCACTTATTGTTATTGTTTATAGCAGTCATAGCAATTGCTAATCAATAAAATGGCTTTGAACTACACACTACTAGCAGTATTATCTGTGCCTTATGTCACGGCTTAAGAGCTAAACATTGTACAATAGATACATGACACCGTTTTGACGTGACTGCAAGCACTTGTATTTTGATTACAAACACAAAACAAAGAACTGTATGGTAATGTGGTTGATTAATAATTATTTTTTGGTTAGTTACAAGTCTTAAACGCTTTCTAAACAAATGGAAATGCCTGGTAATGATTGTTAGTTTCGGCTGGGAAGATAAGAACCCCTTAATCGTAGGGTAAATATTTGCGACGTGCAGCAGCTGCTTTGTTCACTGGGCGCCTAATGTTGCTAGTTCGTAATTTTCTCTAAATGCTACATAAAAATATATATATATTTCTGGTATAAAAACGTGAATACTTTTAGCTGGGCTGCTGCAGACACTTTTGGCCGCACACAGATTATGGCTAATATAAAATTGTTCTTCCGTCAGAGATTCCGTTGACGTTTTACAAATGCACTTTTAGAGATTCCATGCGACTCACAATGCGACGACGCAGTTCGGCGTATCTGCAAATAAAATTTTTAATTAATTATTAATTCTGTTTGCAAAGTTTTTATTAATTACATCTGATAATGAACCTCACCTTTCTTTAATTTTGGCCACTTCGCGAGCCACTTCCTGATCGTAACGCTCCAAAATGGCACGACATTCGGGCAGCGATAGATTCAAAAATTGAGCAACTTCATTACTGTATTAAGAGAAAACATATTTCTCATTATTACAATACAGCCTTGTTAGACTTCTGACTTGCTTACCTGATTTCATCCGTCTTGCGGGCATCAACCAAAAACATACGAGCCACATCCTCATGAGGACCCAAAGTGACGCGTGTTATCAGGGGATACTCGTCATCCTTCAAACGCTTTTGCTCTCCGTTGTCACGCACAATGAAGAGCGAAAAGTTCTCCGCCGCACTGTCCACTTTGTATTTTTCCAGCACCAAATTAATAACCTCTGTCGTGGTCACCATCGACGACACCCACACAGACATCTGAGAGCCGTAGGGCGGCGTAAAAAACGAAGTCTCTCGATTGTAATAGTGACCATTGATAGAGCACCGACGTTTCAGCTTGGTCCGGGAACTGTACACCAAAGATTTTGGTTAAGAGACTGATTTTAAAACCAAGGCTTTATAAACTCACCGGCGGTTTCCACTGCGTCGCTTGATGGCTGCAGCTCCAGTGCGTGGGGGCCTTCGTAGCACCACGCCATCTTCGGTGACATGCAGGCCGGCAGCTCCAGCTCCAACGCCCTCGCTGGCTGTAAACAGTTCCTCCGTTTGGGTGAGCTCATCGCCGGCGGCCGCTCCACTGGTTATGGACGGAGCATCTGCACGACTGGACTCTCCTTCGCTGGCGGCAGCTGCATTCTCTTTGGGATAGCAATCCATCTGGATTTGAATATACCGGGGAGGGACATCGCTGCGCCTAATGGTTGCCAAGCGTTGGGGCCGAAGGGTGGCCTCGTCGTCGTCATCGTCGCTGTCGGAATATACAAAGCAGCTGGGTCCCGACTTGGAGCGATTAATACCCTTCTCAAAGAGCTGTCGCCCCTGCTGATATGGCTTCTTGGGCGCCGCTGTGGTTGCGGATGCCGAACCACTCTTCTGCAAGGCGTACTGGCGCTGCGAGGATCGCGGCGAGCACACGCTGCTGCGCAAGTTCATGGTGTCGTTGATCAGTGTGGGATCTATGGAGCGCAGCGCATGCTCGCAGTTAAAGCTTTTGCTCATCACCGAGTTCTCGCCGTAGAGCTTGAGGGAGTCGTGGATACGAGACGGATCAATGGGCTGATTGCGTTTCAGGGTGTCGTCGTTGGGTTCCTTGAAGGAATTGGTCCCATTGACGTAGTCCTGGTGCACACTGCGCTTAAAGTCCTCAAAGTCCATTGGCTTCAGGGTAGCATCGTCCGAGGTCTCATAGTTGTCCAGTGTGGTCTCGGTGGTTGTCACCGTTGTGGTATTTTGGGTGTTCGTGTTTGCAGTCAACGAGCCCGTGGCCGTCATAAAGTTATCCGAGCTGCTGCTATCCGTGGTGGCTGATTGCGTAGAGCTCGACTCCGTAGTGGTGGAGGTGTTGTCCGTGGACGTTTTGCTGGGCGAACTGTCGCTGGAGGATTGCGACGAAGGCAGTTTGACCGGCATTGTCTCGTAAATGCGATCCTTCTCATTGTGGCGCCTCTCCACCTGCAGCAGGTCATCGATATCATCCCAGTCCAACTTTTCCAAATTGTCCAGCTTAGAGGGTAGCGTGCTGGAGACACAGCTTGTGCTGGCCGTGGGTGCCTCCACCAAAGTGCCCGAAGAGTCCGTAGTGGTTGTATCCTCATCGTCGTTGGAGACTTTGCCATTGGTCACTTCCTTGCTGTTTCCCGTGGTGTTGGCAGAGGCATCTTCGGGGGTTGTGGGCAGCTCTGAGATCTCGTTTAGGCTGCACGAGTCAAAGGTCATGCTCTCAGACAGCGAAACATCCGTGGAAAGCTGGTCCACTTCACCGGTTGTGGTTGTGGGCGGAGCAAGTGACTCGCTGACCTCGTTTTCCTTATCCGAGCTGCTCTCCTAAGGGTGCCATTCAAAAGGATTCTCATTACTAAATTGTCTCGAGGTAAAATGTATAAATTCCTTACATTTGCTGCCTTGGACACGCGGCAGGAGTTCCTCTTGCGCACCACAAACGTTCGCTGGTCATCGTCCTCCTTCAGGTGAATCACTCCCTGCACTCCCCAGTAGACGCGCAGGGCTCCCTCTAGCACCAAGCGGTTGTTGACCTCGCGGCTGCGTATCTCCAGGCTTTTATTGTCGTAGAATTGATTGTAGACCTGCCAGTAAATGGGACTTGTATTAGTCATCTAGACCTGGGATCCTTGACTTGTGTATGCCGCACCTTCAGCTTAGATTCTAGGTGATCACGCGGCAGGGTGGGGCCATTAGCCTGAGCTCCGGCAGGCTTCTGGGCACCCTTCACCCCGTAGCTCTTGTGGGATTCCACCCTAGTGCCATGGCCAAACAGCTGGGGTCCGAACAGCGCTCCATAGCAGGGCACATGGCAGTAAGGCACACCTTTGTGCTGAAAAAGGCAACAAAACAGAAATGCATCGAGATCGTGCGTCTAGACATCACCTGTTACACTCACCTCGGCGTGCTGGCCGGGATTCAGCCGCTTGCCGCACTCCTCGCAGCGCAAACATTCCGGATGCCAATCGTAGCCGAGCGATTGTTTACGTTCCGCTGTGTTTGGAATAAATGAAAATAATTACAAACGATTTATTTACGGATCAGGGCCTGTTCGCAGCTGCAAGTGTGTGCGGACGTGGGTGTGTGTATTACCAAAGAAAACGGGTTTGCCGCACTTGTGGCACTTCCACATTCTTCTCCAGTTGACTCCAAACTGCACAGGTCAACGATTCCCGAGTCCCAATTCCTAATTTCCGGGTGCGCTCCTGCTGCTCCCTCCGCTTTAGCTCCGCCGATCGCGGGATGTGGGCCAAACTCACGTTACGCCACGGGATTTATGCAAATGAGGCGATTTTGAGCGGACACGAAACGCAAATAGAACGCAAGACAAAGGGTAAACACATGGGGGAGTGGAGGCGGAGTGCGGGACTTTGTGCGGTCACTTGGCCATCGGCGCCGGGGAACGTGAGAAAAACATAGTTTTATAAATGAAACTGGCACTGGGCACACCCACGCGACGGGCACAGGGCAGGTGCATCGAGTGTTGTGCGTTCTTAAATAGATAATTGCACCGAAACCAAAACAGCACCAGCAGAACAGAACAATGAAGTAGAGATGGAAGACCGTCGATGGCACCATCGTTTACAATCGATTTGACCAGCGATAGTTTTGGGCACTATTGATGGTTTTCCGCAGAAGCACGAAAAAACACAAAAAGTGATTATAAAATATAATTGCACTTAAATACAAATTTGGAGTTATTTACTTGAGTATTTTAAAATAAATTAATTAAATTAAATAATGTTTTTATTTGAATTATTTATAATTATGGTATCCAGGGTATCAAAACTTCGCCACACATTTTTTCTGTAATCGATAGTTTTCTTTTCATTTTACATCACTATTAAGTGCAGTTTTTGCCGTTAAATACTTTTGTTTTAAAGGTAAATCACAGTATTAAATAATGCTTGCTAAAACTGCATTTTTGAGCGAAAAACTGTTGTAGAAACTAACTAAAAACAGCATAAAAAATACTTTAAATAGTGCCCGCCAAGGGGTGTGACCATCTGCAGACTCACAGCCTCCCTGGAGATTTCTTGGCGCTCTGGACGCGGCCACACTGTTCGTAGAAAGCGAGACGTTTTTAGTTTGTTGTCTGTGGATTCCGCGCTGTGAAATTCATTAATTTGTCCAGTGAGTCGCGTAAATCGACGAGTTCCGCTAATCAGGGCCGAGCTCTACGTGTGTGCCCGTTGACTGCCGAGGATGCGAGCAGCCCAATCGTCTCCGGCTGCCCGCAATTAGGTTCTCGAAACGAGTCGCCTGGAAGCAACAGCAGCAACAGGCCAGCAATTCCGCAGGCCCCAATTAGCGAATAGCCAACAGTGCAAGTGCTACGTGCGTGTGATTGTGTCTGAGCTGCTGTCTCAGCCTCGACTGGAGCCACAATGCGCGCCACCATCGAGTTCGAGGAGTGTCTGAAGGATTCGCCGCGCTTCAGGTGGATATAACACCCATACCCATACGTTGAACTCAAGCCCCACAGATTCCTCTCCTTGTTTACACCGAGCCGACCTCCGCCGCTTTTGGCAGCCCGAGATTTGCATTGTTCCGGAGAGCTGTCCATGTAGCGTGACTGGTTGCTATCAAGCTAGGCCTCGCCACCCTCAGCCCGCCCATTTGCCAGCCAGCGCTGAAAACGCGGCTTAATCATCCATCGAACAAACTTTGCACTGGAAACCGTCCCGTCACCGCTGTGGAATTTATCTTCCCGTTCTGCCGTTGCCCCTGTCTTGCCAACCGTTTAATTGCCGATGCTAGACTGGCAAATGTTTCGGCGCTGATTGATAAGATTTCACCCAAATTGCCTCTTCTTGGCTAATCGCGCCCAAAGACAAAGCTTTCCCTCGTAAATGCTGCACAAAAGCGGCTACAACTCGTTTGCAGGCTGCCCCATCCCCGCTTCCCACTTCTCGTAGCACCTGCAGCTCCTAATGAAAAAAACCGGAAACAAAGACCAGATTTGAACTCCGAAACTTAGAATACCCTTTAACTGTTTTTCATCTATTTTTGGAGAAAAAAAGGATTTTTTTTTCAATTTTTGGTTCATTTATTTTTAATAAATATATTAAGTATTGGTTGTGCTGATCAAGAGAGTTTCTTAAGCAATTACACGATAGTGTTCAAAGGGAACGTAACAAATGTTAGAGGAGTTTTTTCAAAAAACCTAAAGTTTAGCAAATTGCCGCATTTTCTATATATTAGCTAGTTGTGAAATTTCGGCTAAAGCCGAGTCGAGTTCCATTGCCTGTTAATTGTATTTATTTTAATTTATTTATCAAGTTGATTTGTTTATCTTAAAGTGTAAATATAAATTAATTCAAAAGTCACTTTGAACGCATTATTTGGTAGGGAAGTCTGGCCAGTAGTTTATGTAGTACTTGTGTGTCGACCCGTCGAACAATCTCTCCAACCAGTCATCCAGGCTGTTGAGTAAATGATCCTCCAGGAGGACATTCGCTTCTGCCTCGGACTCTTCGGAGTAGCCTTTCTCGAGAAAGGTTCCAATCTCAGGATCCTCTCTCCTGTCCAAAAGGGGTTTGGTAATTTTCAAAATTCTCTTGGCCGCGCGAACGGATTCTGGATGCTTGGCGTGATACATGCAAAAGTACTTTCGGTGGCCATTCAAGGCAATTACAGTGCCCACACAGTTCCGCGGATTGACCTGCAACTTTTGATTCGTGCATAGCGACAATCGAAGGAGCTCAGAGTACCACGGCAATCCCTTTTCAATTAGCATGTGTCCGAATAATAGTGTCTTGGATTTCCTGTAAGGCCAAACGGCTTTGTGAAAATAGGGTATTAGCTTCTTTCGGCTCTGCAAGTCTGTTATCAGGAGTAACGTACGGCATCCTGGCTTTAGCAAGCGAACCATTCCATTATATTTTTCAGCTCTCAGCTCGTATAGCTTAAGTTCCGGGACGGGTTGATTATTATATTGGCCGTCTTGGCCGTCAACCAGATGACCTTTGGCCTTGAGATTTTCCTCTTCTGCCCGCACGAAGTACATCAGTACATATCCAACGGCAAACATGAACGCAATTGTTCCCAAAAGGGAGAACGCAGCCAGGAGGTGCTCGTCTTCTATATTATCAGACAGATAATCCAGCATATAAAGCATTCGCGACATCCATTTGGTAATTATTCCCTCGGAATGCTCATTAAACAGCTTTTCCACAAAGGCTTCGTAATTAAGCGACTCTGACGATTTCAAGAGTCTCTTCACTGTGAAAGAAATTTCATAGTTTGTGGCATTGATTAAGCTTTCATTGACAAAGTTGGCATATTGCTTAGCACCGCAGACCCACTCGTACTTTATATGCTTATCGTCTCGCCGCCAAATGATGACTATTTGCAGGGGATTCTTCTCAAACGAACCCTTTGAAATGGCATTGATAAAATCGGGTTGACTCTCCTTGAACATGTACGCGAAACGAACTCTTTCCAAGCTATAACCACTATTTAGGGCGATTCGTCTGAGGGCGACTCTTGCGAAGTCGTGCTTTTTGTTATTTTCTGTGATGAGAACCACGCATAAACGCTTCCTTGGCCGGTTCCACTCCCTTGGGCACACACTCTCCAGAATGTCCTGGGAGGATAGTCTCGGCAAAGCCAGATATTGATTCGAGGAAACCACATCTATCAGTGTTTGCGTTGGGATGTCCGGCATACATACACTGGCCACGTAGCTCGTCGACTCTTCATTAAATATAAGCAGAGTGTCCATGCTGGTATTTACCTTGAAGCGATCAATTATCTCCTTCGATCGCTTACTATTCATATCGACAAACCCGAATGCGACACGATCGTTGAACTCAAAGGCGGTTAGCAAGTACCGCAGCCGGATCAAATTGCGAGGCTCCAGGATTAGCGCTCGAACCCTGTTGTCCATCCACCCGCCAAGGAAGTCGTCTATATTTTCGCTGTCCACCCGTTGCATGATTCTAAACGGCAGCTTCTTGCGGATGAAGTCAACCACCTTTTGGGGGGTAATGGAATGCTCCCGATAAATGAAGACGTGACCGTCGATAACGACCACCAGTTTGGGGACCTCATCTATTCCAGTTTTCCGGAAAATTGACTCCTCGTGTATAGCATTGACGGTGGCAAAGTTAACCCCCAGGGGCTCCAGGATGTCCATTACCTTTTTAAATGCGTTGACTATACGGTTGCACCGGAAGCACCAGTCGTTGTAGAACATTACTACGTGAACCTTCTTGGCGCTGTTTGGCAAAATATTCTTCTCAAAGTAGTTGGCGGTGACAGACAGCTTGTGGAAGAGCACAATGTCCTGGTCAATGGTGAAGTGCTTTCCGAAAGTGTCTTCCGTTTGATAGTACGAATATCGATTATATTCACTGTAGTCATATTTGTCCTGCAAATAGTGCGAATCCTCACTGGTGACCCCGTGCCGATCATAGATGCGTCGTCTGTCGGTGTCACTGAGCAGCTCATAGGCGGATTTTATTTGGACAAATTTCTCCACCGCGTCCGAGTCGGAACGTTTGTCTGGGTGCCATTCTTTGGCCAGCTCCTTGTACGCCTTTCTTATTTCCTGCGCAGAAGCCGTATTGCTTACACCGAGGATGGCGTAGGGGTCGTTCGAAGCGCAGAGACATATTGTTGCTTTTGCACACAGGAACAGAAATATGATTATTAAATTCTGTTCAAAAAATTTTCCCGTTGACATCTTCTTCCAGTATTGGTTGAAAACATATGTTTTGAGAGAATCAATACTAGAATATCCAATGTGACCGCAATCTGTGAGATGCATTATACCATCCTGCGCCAAGTTAACGCAAATCCGCGATGGGGGTGGTTCTGTAGGATATGGAACACTGAGAATACCCGGGTATCCTATGGTCGGCGGGCATTTGAATCTAAAGTTCTTTATTGGTTTTTATGCCATTTTCATACATTTATTTTTCTTAGAAAAACGGCGCCTGCGCACAAATGATTTTCTATTGTGCGTCAGAAGTATTAGTCAACACTATCTGGCGGATAAAATTAAAACAAAAGTAAAGTTTACTAAAATGTCTTAAACAATTTGTTGTTTTTGTACAAATTATTTCGCCAAGGAATTTCAAAATGTCTTTACATGTTTATATTCTATTTTACTTTTAAATTAAACTAAGGAATATTAAATTGCAAGAATAACTTGTTGCATGTGAACTATTTATACCAATGTATGGTTTCTGGGTACTATTGAGGTGCCGTAACTTCAATATATTTTATTTTAATAATGATAATAATTTTTTTTTTAATTTTCAAAACTGATTTTTAAAGTTACAGCTTTTAAAAAGTACCAAAACCCGTATTTTCGGTACTTTTAAAATAAAATATTTTGAAAACCTTACATATACGAAATTCCAAAACCGGATTTGAGTTCAGCGCATCAAAAACTATTGGAAAATATATTCCGTTTCTTGGATCTAAAAAGTTTATCATTTTATATATCTTTCTAAATATATCTTTGTTCTCTTTAGGACAACGAAATGTATAAAAAAAAAGAATAAAATAACATAATCTTTATGCATTTCGAGTATTGTATTAAATAATACAATACATTTTCTTTCTGAAATATTTCTAAATTTTCTTGTGATCTGAGCTTGTGATCCTCTATACCATATGCCAAGGTATTTTGAAGCGCAAATAAAGCGTTGAAACAAAAGCAGTGCACGACAAATCAATGGGTGACACCAGGGAAAAAGTGGGGAGACCCAGAGAGTCAGCAACACAGTGATACAAAATCTTGTCCCCTGACGGACAGACTGGACTCGACTCTATTTTGTGGCGAGGCGTATACAATTGAAAGCGCAAATACGCTTTAATACAGCGGCATAAATTAAAAGTGTCAACATAAACAGACTCTGTGAGAGAGCGCGAGCTCCGCACTCTGGCGGTGCCGCTGCCCCCGCGATAACTTCTTTGATTAAGCGGCCAGATAATGTTTACCCATCTCGGGCAATTTTAATCATCAGCATACGCGCTACCCGAACCCATACCCAATCCCAGACCCATTCTCCATCTGTTGTTTACATCTCTGCGGAATTGTGCTAACGCTTTCAGTTTGTTTTGCCAGACAATTTGTATCCAAGGAGGAGGGCGACATCGAGCACTTGGAGCAGCGGCTGGAGAAAATCATCAAGCTGTGCAATGTGGCCGTTGACTCCGGCAAGGAGTATGTCAAGAACCAGAGGTACAACCACTGCGCAGTTTCCATTCTCATGCATATTCATGGTCATTGATTCTTTGAATTTCGCAGCGCCTTTGCCATGTCCTTGTGGGACCTGCAGCAGCACTTTCTCGACAACAAGAACGCACACAACGCTTTGGGCAAGCTGATACACTGCTTCCAGGTGAGGTCTTGTCCTGAGCATAAATATGGCACGGATTCTTTTATCTGGCGTTATTTTTCAGGAGATGAACAAGTTCCATACGATTCTCTTGGATCAGGCTAGCCGCACAGTGCTAAAGAATCTCAGTGTGTTTGTAAAGGACGACATCAACCAGGTGAAGGACTACAAGGGGCACTTCCTCAAGGTTTCCGAGGGCTATGACAATGCGCTGATAAAAAACGCACAGGTCTTAAAAATATGCATTAGCGATCTCGAATGTGCTTTAACTTTTATGAATTATTCCTACAGGCCAGTAAAAACCGACCGCAGGAGGTGCAAGAGGCTGCCAATATCCTTTCCGCCTCCAAATCCTGTTTCCAGCACACCGCCCTGGACTATGTGAACTATATAACGCTGGCCCAGGCTCGCAAGGTCCCCTCCATACTGTCAACGGTAAGGAAAGGCCAAGGTGTCGGCCGATATCACCTCTTATCGCTTCCAAATGCTATGAATGGAGTGGTCCGCCGACCGCTGAGTAAATAACTTGAAGGGATTTGTTTTTGTTATGACGTCATTACTGCGATATAAATGCGCCTTTATATATGTATTTGTGGCATATCTAAAAGCATTGATCAGCAAGTTGAGTCAGTTGTGCGCTGGCAAATGCGATCAGTTGCCTATCAGGAGTGCTCGGTGCCGGGTCGTCGCTGGGGTTCAGAGAAACTAAAGAACAATAACTGCTATTCTTTGTTTTCGGCACGTTTTAAAGCTGATCTCCCCCCGCTATTTTTCGGCAGCTGCTGGACTACTATCAGGCGTGCGTGACCTACTACCACCAGGGCTTCGACCTGTGCAACGACTTTGACGAGTTCTTCAAGAACATCAGCGAGGACTTGAATGCACTGCGCGGCGACTATCAGCAGCTGGAAAAGGCCATGCAGGACCGCCACATGAGCGTCAATCGCTACTGCGACTCGAACACCAACAGCACCTCCAACAAGATCGAGGGATACCTGTTCAAGAAGAAGTCCAAGGGCTTCAAGACCTGGTGCCGGCGCTGGTTCTACTTGAGCGACAACCAGCTGGTCTACAGGTGGGTGCGCGCAGCTTGCTTCATCCCGAAAAACCCATCCTCCCATCTGCTTGCTTAGTTAATCTTTTTTTTTGCAACTTTTGATTTCTGTCATGTTTTTGTTGTGTGGTGTTTTGTGATGTGATGTGTTGGCGGTACGCTGAAGTGATTTGGATTCGCATTGCAGAAAACGGAGCAACGAGGACTCGTTCTCGGTCATGGAGGAGGACCTGCGCATCTGCCACGTACGCCCGGTTAATGAGGGCGACCGTCGCTTCTGCTTTGAGGTCATCTCTCCGACAAAGTGAGTAATCCATAGCCCATTTTTTCTTTTCAGCTAGTGACCCAACTCTTTTTCAGATCCCACATTCTGCAGGCGGATTCCGCGGACATGCTCTCCCTGTGGATCTCAGCACTGCAGCACAGCATTGGGGCAGCCATCCAACATGACTCCACCACGCACCACTCACGACCACAGTCGACGAACACACCCAATGCTTTGCCCGCAAAGCGGAGAATGTAAGCCTGATTCACTTGATGATCTTGCAACCCATGTCTCATAGCCAATCGGACGACTTCCCCTCTTTCAGCCACTGGGAGGAGTTCCTAAAGATACCCGGCAACGCGTACTGCTGCGACTGCAGGAGCCCCGAACCGCGATGGGCCTCTATCAATCTGGGCATCACCCTGTGCATCGAGTGCTCCGGAGTTCATCGCAGCCTGGGTGTCCACTACAGCAAAGTTCGCTCCCTCACTCTGGATGCCTGGGAGACAGAGAACGTGAAGGTGATGATGGAGCTCGGCAACGAGGTGGTGAACCGCATCTATGAGGCACGCACCGGCGATGACTGCGAGCTCCAGCATCCCACTGAGCAATGCGAGATAGGAGTGCGCGAGGCCTGGATCAAGGCTAAGTACGTGGAGCGGCGGTTTGTGTGCGGCATGCCTAAGCCTCAAGAGCTGCTGGCAAGCGAGACGGCCGAGGTGCTTAGCATAGACAGTGGAGGCTTGGCGGAGGACGGTGGCAGCGGGGGCAGTGGCACAGGACTGGGGATCAGTAAGCGGGCCACTCTTTCGCTGGGAGGTACACGCAAATGGGCAGTGAAGAAGCTACGACGGAGGCGACAACAGCGATCGTTGCCCAAGACTTTAAGTGACGATCCGAGCATCTATAACACGGCCAAGACGGGCGACGAACTGGACGAAGATGATGATGATGAGTCCATCAACATTCCCTCAATGTCGCTGAGCATATCTCGCGACGATTTGCTGGTCATCGGCGATGACCTGGCCCTGGACACCTTCGAGACGCCTGGCATTCTGGGTAGCGATCAGGAGAGCACAGAAGGTGAGTCGGAGACGGAAATGCCGGAGGAGCTGCCCTTCTCTCAACTGGATGCAAACCAACTTCTGTACATGGCTTCGGTAGTGCACAATCTGCCGGTGATGTGCATGGCCTTTGCCCTGGGCGCCGACAAGCACTGGAAGAACCCCCAGGATAGGCAGCGTTCGTTTCTTCACCAGGCCGTAATCTCCGGCTCCGTGATGGCCTGCGAGTACCTGCTGCTAAATGGAGCCGCCATCGATGCTGTGGATGAGCTGGGCTACAGTGCACTGCACATATCGACGGCCAAGGGGCATATTGCACAGGTGTACTTGCTGCTGAAGCACAAGGCAGCCTACGATCTGGCCTCCAGTGATGGCAAGAAGGCATTGGACATAGCAGTTGACCAGAAGAACGCCGATATTGTGACGCTGTAAGGATGCTTAAATATTAAATATTTATGCTAATAAAATTATTTCTTTAGACTCCGGCTGACACGGCTTAACGACGAAATCGGTCTGAACGACGAGTTCAACGGCGAGGACGAAACCTACAAGGACGTAATGAAGGACTTCTCCAACTTCACCGCCAGCCAGCCACGAATGTTGCGGCAGCGGAATGACTCCAACACCTTGGAGTCACAGCGCAGCTCGTTGACCAACTCAGACTAGCAGCGGTTGAAGGGTCGCAGGACTTAAAGGACCCGTTCGTTGTTGTGGATATTGTACCAATTAGTAGACTAGGATATACATTGGATTGTTATTGGCTTTATAATGCATTAACCAGGAGTGGTAAACGGTTTCGATGTCGATGTCCTCTTAGTAGAGGCCTCGAAGAGGCAATCTCACTTGAAAGGCGCTTCCGATTATACAAAAAAGATTTATTAATTGCATTTTTGTCCTTGTATTTTGCATTCGATTTCTCTTGGCGCGTTTTGAGTCCCGTTTGTTGGCGCTTAGCTTAGGTCTAAAGAATTTGTAGAGTTGAGTTTATTAAAATACGTGTATTTGCCTATAAAATTGTACATCGTCTTATGTGGTATTTATTAAACGATCAATATATTGTAAAACCTATGTACGTCTAGCTAGATATTAGATGGTAACCCGTTGCAGAGTTGTTCCAAATGTTCCACTTTGTATTTGTATTTCGCTAAACTGTTTACATGTATGCATTCTAAATGTTCTAACTATCATGTTGATGATATCTGGGGTGCCAACTGTTGTGAGCACTTTCAGTTCGCGAAATAAAGGTGTAAAATATTCAAAGCCGAGTGTGCCATCTCTTACTCCATCTCACAAATCTCGGGCTCGGAGCCGTAGTCCACCGACTTCTTCAGGCCCTTGTGCACGTTTGTGAAATGTCGCTGGAGCGCACTGCGATCGTTGAACTGCCGATCGCACTCCTTGCAGGTGAACATGACGCCCGCATGCGTGGCCAGGTGGCGACTCAGGCCCGACTGGTGGTTGAAGCTGCGAGAGCATAGGTGACACTTGTTGGTCCTGGCATTGCCCATGTGCACTCGGCTGATGTGCTGCTGCAGATTCGATTTCTGGGCAAAGCACGTCGAGCAGTGGGGGCACTTGTGGCGCTTAGCTCCCGTGTGGGTGTCCATGTGCCGCTTGAGCACTTCTCGCTGGGAGAAGGACGCCTCGCACACGTCGCACTTGAAGGGCTTAATCCCACTGTGAATGACCCTGTGCCGCTTAAGGGAACTTGCGCAGGACAGCTGCATCCCACAGTCGGGACACTTGAGGGAACCGCCTTTGCCGTTCTTTATGCTCTTGACATGGATATTGTGGTGACGCAGCAGTAGCTTCTCTGAGGCGAAGGCCACCGGGCAGATCTTACACTGGAACGTCTTCATGGTGTCTGTCACCCGTCTAGGCTTCACTTGTCCCTCACGTAACGCCTGCTTTACCACAAACTCACTCTGTCGCTTTCTTTTGGCAGGTTGCTCGGCGTCTCGAAGGGTGTCGTTCTTCTCCTGGAACAAGGCAGTCGTTAGAGAAAACGCATTGAAACGTGAGCAGTTTAGTTACCACAATGATGACATTTTCGTCAAAGTTATAAACCTGCTGCTCCTCAGCTATCTCGCCGTCCAAATTGAAGACCACCACATCCTCCAACTGCGTTTTATCTCCGCTGAACTGAATCTCTCCATCTTCCTTGACTAGCGAACATAGGGAACATTAGTTCAATCAAGGTAAAATCGGTGTAATATTAACTCACTGTTGTAGGAAGTGATATCGTTGTCTTCGTCAAAATCTGCTGAGGAGGCTGGCTTCGTGGCCTGCGTACTGTTCGCGTTGATTATGTAAATCTCACCATCCTCGGTTCTCACCATTTCCCCTGCGCCGATCATTTTAATGTCTCTGAAGTCCTGCTCGCTCTCCGTGGGCACGTCATCCTCCAGCTCGAGCGTATCCACCTCCACCTCATCCACGGTAGATGTCTCGGGAGTGCCACTCCGTAAGAATTCCACTTCCGGTTCTGCCTGCTCCGCTTCTATTTTCTGCAAGGCTGGTGCTTTCACTGCTGGGCTGGAGCTCTGCTTGATGGAACTCGTAGGCCTTAGCTTTGGAGAGACAGGGGGATTACGCACCACATTGACGGGAGCCTTTACTATTGCTTCTTGTCCATCCAACGTTTCCCACTGGCCGGCCTTCTTCTCAACCAAGTACACCTCCAGCTCCCCCAAGAGCTTGACCAGCTGCTCTTTCCGGATCTCCTCGGACACTTCGTTGCGCAGCTCCTCGCGAACATCGCTGCGGACCTCGGCCTCCAGCTGCTCTCTCACCTCCCTGCGCACCTCCTCGGCCAGCTCCTTGCGCACCTCTGGGACCAGTTTGGCCCGCAGCTTTATCCGCGAGTCTGCCAGCCGCTTGTTTAACTCCTGCTCCTGCTCCTCTTTAAACTCCGCCCGCCACTTCTCGTCGGCCTTCTGCCGCAGCTTGTCCTGTTGGTCGATGAACGCTATTGAGTCTTCGAATTCCAGCTCATCGTCGTCAAAGTCGTCGCCATCCGGATCCTTGGAGAAGACGCGGCTCCGCTTGCCCAGGCACAGCAGGCGGACGTGCTTGCGCAGCTTCTTCTCCGCCGCCTGGCAGCGCTGGCGGAAGAGAAAGGACTTTTCCAGCTGGTATCGACACTCGCCGCATACCTTCTTGGGCAGGTTGTCCGCGGGCTTGGCGTCCAAGGAGACGCAAGCCATCAGACGCACGGGGATTGAGAGATTGGCCTCGTCCTCGTCGAATATCTCGTACGCGTCCTGGTGCTCCCCCAGGCAGAGGCGGCACAAGGTCGACAAGTCGGGGTACGAGGGCAGCGCGTCCATAGGGTCGCTTCTTTTTTCTATATTTCTTATAGTTGCCGGAATAACATCGATGTTATAGAGTTGGCGTCGCTAGCATGCAAGCAGTGTGACCAAAGCTAGGGTGGTTTAGAATACCGAAATTCCGCAACTACCACACTGCATGAATTAATTTGAAAATTTTTGAAATAAAACATTAAATAGCGTAGATATTGGTCTCAAAACTATTGTTAGCCCCAGGTTGGGGCTAATTGGTTCTAGGCAAGGACCTCCAAAGGCGCGAAAGTGGTGTTTTCTACAGTTTTTCAGAAAATTAAAAAAATCTGCGTTCAAGAATGTTGAAAATTAAACTGAAAATATGAATTTTTAAGTTTTATTTTAAAATATGATGAATTTTTCATCATTAATAATGATTGAAATAAATAATAATAAAATAAAATTGGTACGTAATCATTTTTGAGCAAAAATAAAAATACAAAAATAAATATTATTTTTTATTAAAAATGTACAAATACAAAATATTTTTTGAGTACAAAAAATTGAAATAAAAAATAATGATTATAAAGATAATTTTTTGAAAATAATGATTCATTTTCAGTCGAATTTATTTTTACTCCAAATAAAACTCATAATTAAAAGAGGTTTTTAAGTTTGTAAAATGTCCTTATAGAGGACATCTGAAGATGAGTTTTATTTTGAGTGAAAACTCAAAAATTATTTTTGTTTTTGCTCAAAGAAAATAACAAATTGATTTTTATGATATTACGCAATTTTAATATTATAATTGATGAAAATCATACAATTTCGAAATATAAAATCAATAATTTACAGAATATTATCCTTTTTATTCTGTGGTTGACTTTTCAATGAAAAGTTTTCATTTAAAAATGGTTCCGATAATGATTGCTTCAATTTAAATTCATAACAAAAAAGTTGTTCTTCATATAAATATTTATTTATTTGTACGCTGTATGCTTAATTCTAAATTAAGCTACAGGGTGGATATCAGCCTTATCTGCTGTGGAAATAAAAATATATTTCAAGTGTTTTTCCTGGGGTTTTCACCTTAGTGTAAGTTTTAAAATATACATATATCTTATACATAATAAAAAAAAATCTATAAAAAAAAGTTAAGTCTATGAAAGCAAAGTTAGAACACGCAGCATTGACGATAAATATGTTTGTCAGCAGACATTAGAAAACCAAAGATTTCTTCTTGTTCCTTTTTCTTCATAATCTTAAATCTAATAGGATAACGATGAAATTAATATACTAGTTGCTAAAATGTATAGACTATTGCCTAGGAAGCTGTGCGATTTAGCTTAGCTGCACCTCGAAGACGACAACACACGCATTCGCTGCATTCGACAGGCTCCTGGGAGTACCGCTTTGCCCTGTTGCTGTGCTTCCGGCACAATAAAACGCTTTCGCGTCGCTTTCTCTTGGCGGAGGGCTTCGTTACCTCCACATCCTTACGCGGAGTAGTCTTAGCCTTTAGGAAGGCTTCCCTGTTGAAGTCCTCGAGCAGATGGCTCATCTGAGAGTCACTCATATTGATCTCAACCATGGGCATGGGATCGATCGAATCGGTGGGACATGCAGGATGAGCTTCTGGTGGTTCTGGATTCCTAGGCTCTGGTTCGTCATCTAGGGGGAAAGGCATTATAGCTAAGTGGGTAGATTGAAAAGTATGAAACATTACCCAGTAGCTCCACGACATCTCCGTCCACTGGTTCTTCCCGTTCCGCTTCGAAGAAACCTTCGCTTTTCGCTGCATCCCTTCGGGGGGAATTCGAGCATAAACTCTCCGACCCAAAGGCCGCCTCGTTGCGCTTGCGCACGAAGAATGCCTCCACCTCGTCGAAGAGCTCGTCCAGGACGCTGAGTTTCAGCTTCTGCTTGGCCTCAGCCATGAGCACTCCCATCACTTCGACGCGGACTTCGTTCTCGATCTCAGTGCGCACCGCCTGCGTGCAGATGCCATGCAGCTCCTTCTTGTAAGCGTCTATCTCTGCTCGAATGACCTTGGCTGCCTGCAGACGCCACTGGGCGTTGCTCTCGGAGCAGGCGGTTGCCGTGCATCCGACCACGTCCCGCAGGGTTCGTTCCTCCTCGGCCTCCTCCTGCGCCGCAATCACCGCCATATGGGCCTTGGGCTCCTGCTTTTGCAGCAATTTTCTGCGCTTCAGTCGACGATCCACAGCGAGGCAGCGTCGACGGAAGCTGTTCATCTCCTCGAGCCGCAGGCGGCAAATGGTACATATGTGCTGCGGCAGGCCGTCTCCGGGCTCGATTTCTAGAGAAATGCATGCCATTATTCTCATTGCAGCCGTGGAGTTTACAACCGAAAAGTTAGCGTCCTTTGCCAAACACAGGCGACAAACGTTCATGTTTCTTTTGTGGTTTATTCGTTCGAATTCTATGACTTGGCAAACGGAATCTCTTGAAATAGGTAAAATAAGAAGTCCCACAAAGTAGGCTCAAGTAGTATAGGAGAGAATACGTTGCAGTTGAAAATATTTAAATCAAAATAATAATTGTTGATTCGCCAAGAGCAGTGTCACCGCCGCCTTTTTGAGACTACAACCAAACGTTTTTTCGATAACTTTTGGAGTTTGTCCTCAATGCCGTCTGGTCACACTGAAACACTTATGGAACGTCCATAATACTAGCGTTGCCGTACTGAACGGGGGTGGGCAGCCCTTCGAGGCGCTGCCATACATGGCGGTTATATTTCAAATATTTGAAACTCAAAATGAAATGTCTATGTTTCTTAAAAAAACCCATAAAAAAGAAAAGATACCAACACTTATCAAACAATTTCATTATATTTCTTTTAAATATTAAGTATAAATACGCAGTTAACTAATTTAAGTATTATATACACAATTACAATAAAGTATTCAGTCACTATAATGCTTCTTCTATATACAAAGTACGATATATATTTATATCCAATGGCTCGAACTCGCCGCCGCACATTAATAAATTATGCAATTCAATTCCATTATAATATACAGTAACAGTCGTCTGTGGTCTTCGGAGTTTGCTGCTCGAATAAAGGATCTGCGCCGAGGATTGCCTACTTACAGCTAATATGTTTGCGCGAGCGTTATTTTGATTTCCTGCTCGCTTTCTATCTGCATTCTCGATTTTTCTGTGGGTGGGTGTGTGTTGTGTGTGTTAAATAAATAGTATCAATTGTTAAAACCATATTCAACATTGAAGTACATCGATCGTTAGGCATATACATAACTACAATATATAATACAATTAGGGCGCCCCCGCAGGAGTGCTGGGTCACTATCCTCAATCATGGCGCCAACTCTGCGGCAGCACGTAGTCCTTGACCTTGTACAGGGCGTTGGCATACCAGTGGATGCCGTTCTGTCGCTCCGCCTGCGACACATCCTTTGATGTGTCCTTCGCCTTGGCTGGAGAGCTGCGCAGCTGCTCCTTGGCGGGCAGCCATGCCTCCAGCGTGGAGAGGAATCGCATGGGAGCCAGGCCCCAGTGGGCCAGAGACTGGCTGTTGATCACTGCGTAGCAGCTGGCTGCCACCGAGTTTACCACAATCGTGCCCTCGCGGGTTAGTGGAGCGACCACGCCTTTGCTGCGCACGCTGCCCACTTGGATGACGCGCTGAGGCTTCAGTTCGCCAGTGGCCGCATCCCGGACCAGAACATGGTTTTGCTCCTCAACGCGATCCGCAAAGACGAAGGCCAGCTGCTGGCGATCCGGCTGCCACACGCTCACCAGATGCGCCGGCGTCACCGTCAGCACCGCTCCGCCGTCCGTGTGGAGCTGCACGAAATTCTGCATCTGTTCGAGGTTACGGTCCATGAAGAGGATCACCTCGCTAAACACGGGCTGTCCATTGGCGGCCATGCTCAGGACGCGGTCTCCGATAGAGAGCTCGCCGAGCGGCTTCTGGACGCCGCTCTCCAGCAGGGCCGTGCTCTCGGGAGTGAAGCAGCCGTGCACATGGGAGCTGATGGAAGAATCTGTAAGTAGAAAATGAAATGATTAGAGATGTTTAATTAATTTTATAAATTACAGTAAATACTACAATTTAATACATATAATATATTGTACATTGATCTTAAAAGTAGCTAAAGTTTTCCAAACTCTGATAAAAATTTTAAGCGAAATAGTTTGCCTTTTCAAATACTTTGCTTTGCGGTCTAGTACAAACAATATATGGTAATATCTGCTTTCAGATACTGCACCCTTGCTTTGGAGAAGGCCGCCCAGGTAATGGCATTAGTTTGCTAATCTAATTTGGCGTTAAGCATCCAATTGCCAAACCCAACAAGTCAAAAAGGTTTTCACGGATCCTGGGCAGGGCCGTTGCAGCCCGAAGTGAAACAATGGGCGTCCCGAAGGCCTGAAATGACTGAAAGGACTGCCTTTTGCGGATAGCCAACAAGCCAGGAACATAATGCGATCGGAGCACAGAGAGATCGGAGATCCGAGATCGCAGATCAACAATCTGGCATATCAATAACATGCGGCAGTCGTGTTTTTGTTTCGGCTTGCACAAAAACTGTGATCTTGTTTGCCCCGCAAGATTAGCCGTGGGATCAGCCCCGTAGCCCAAGCCGGGCCAGAGCTCGAACTCGAGCTCGAGCCAAAGCGGCTTACCGAGCGGTCGGTCCCGAGGAGGAGGTGAGCTGGCAAAAGGGGATAGGCCAGGTAGCAGTTCGTGGTTTGTTTTCCCAACCTTTTGGCAACCTGTTCGCAATTACCGAACATGCTGCAACCCACCGAACAATGATCAAAGTGCAGTCCTATTAATCATCATTAATGGGTATTGGGTTACAAGCAGCAGCTAGCGGGCCACCCAGATGGCTCTGGAAAAATCGGGCATGGGCATGGGCATAGGCACCATCTTAGAACTTTCTCTGGAGCTGGAGCACACACATATTTCACACCCGAAGCGCCGCTGCTGTTGCTCCTCCTTCTGCCCTCCGCTGCTTGTAAAATTCAAATTAAAAATTCCAGACCAAAGGCGACCACTAACCGCGCGCTTTATTATAATGAGTGGCCATAAAGTGGCCTTGTTGTGGTGGCTGCTGCCGCCGCTGTTGCACCGAAATTCCAAAGAAAATGCACCTACTCGATGGCCAGCCCGAAATTCCCATTGATGCATTTGGTAAACACAGACAGGCGGACACACAAAAGTGTAGAAACAATAAAAATCGGATTAAATACATATGGCCAGAGCGGTCTATAAAACCCATAATCGATGGGGACGGGAGCCGGGCCCCGAAAGAACAGTAGACGACGGCCAAAACTCCGGTGAGAGACAAAAGGCGCGGGCAGGCAGAGGAAGCGCGGTAGTAACAAGAAAAATTGGTGTGAAATCTACCTTCCCAAAACAGAGACAGAGACGGAGACAGAAGAACCAACTGGAGTCACAAAAGTAAAATAAAAAAAAAAAAAAACAACAAAACACAAAAAACGAGAGGGACACGAGAAACGAGAAAAATCTCAGGCCTCGTAGTCGACGTCGTCGTCGTCGGCGGTGAGTGGAAAGTGAGGAACTTGAAGGGTCATAAATTAATAAACCATTAAAGTGGTTAAAATTATCGTTATTTTATCTTTGTTGTGAAGACTAAACTGATAAATTATTACAAAACAGAGGACAGCCGCTCGACCACTTGTTGTTGTTGTCGTTGTTGGCTTGGTGACTGATCGTTTGGACAGCATTAACATGAACATGCAACAGCAACAACACACGCTTGGGGGGGCTTTAATGCGCGCGCGCGACACACCGGCAACAACAACAATAGCGGCAGCAGCAACATTGGAAAGAAGAAAAAAAAAAATTAGTGTCGACAAAAAGGTTTACAGCCATTACTCTTCGTCGGTTGTTGTTGTTGCTGCTGCTGGTGCCGCCGCTGCTGTTTAGGCTCGAAACGAAAGACTTAGGCAGCGAACGCGGGGCGCAGCGAATGCTGTGCCAAAACTGTCATAAGCCCGTGGTTTATGTGCAGCGGCCTATCAGCAATCAATCGCTTGGTAATTTATTGATAGCCCGCCGGCGCAACACCAACACATGGTCGGTTACCGGGGACCGAGGACCACACACATGGCAGGATGGACATGGACCGATGGCCTGCCTATGTTGTCCTGGATGCCACTTGTTCGCTTTGTCGGTTGACCTTTTGATTTCGAGCGGAGAGATGGAAAGCGGAGAGGCACAGGATGACAGCAGGATCCAGGATCAAAGTCGGGCGGCTCCTTTCATAAGCAATTAGAATCAATGAGCAAGGACACTCGGTGCGGATCGGTTCGGTTCGACTGCCTGCGATGTGTGTCCTTTGTCCTGCCGTAATCTTTATGGGCCGCCACCAAAAGTCACAATATTGTGACTCGACTGCGTGTGTGGGAAAGGGGCGTGGCATGATGTAATTGTAGATGGAAATTAAATGAACAACTGACAGCAGTCGCACCCAAAGTGCGAGACTCTTGTCCCTGTGTGGGAAATCGCTCGCTCTGTGCCATCTCTGTGCTGTGGCATTAAAACTTGAAAGGGAAATCCCTCCGCGCCGCCGCCGCCGTAAAGAAATGGCAGAGATGGCCGACCGGGAAGAGAAAGAGCAAATCTTGGCAAGAAAACTTAATTGTCTTGGCCCGTTTTGGTTGGCTGACTGACTGGTACCGGGGCCAAAGCATTTTCTTCTCGGTCTTTGGGGCAGTTTCGTTATGTTTCGGGGAAAACTGGTTGCTGGCCATAATGGCAGCTCAAGCAGCTCGGCCTGCTCACGGATACACACTAGCAAGCGGCCTTAACTGATGATGCTAACTTGCTGGCTGGCCGTCCGTTCGGTATCAGTGTTTTTTTCAATTAGGCCCGCGCTCAGGTCTTAGCCCGGCATTTAATTCATCTTTGCCTGTTGCCTGTTGCCTGCTGCCTGTTGCCTGCTGTTGCTGCCGCTGCCTGAGAAACGCTTTGGGTGTCGTATCATCAATTCGTTTAATTTGACAGGCGCAAACCTAAACATGTCAAAACACAGCCAGCCAGCAAGCCAGTTCCCGCCTCTGGAGCCGGGTTTTGGGTCCCGGCCGAGTCCGGTTTTCGACATTGTTGCCTGCCTGCCTGCATGCGTCTCTGCCTTTTTGGCTTTCGACTGCAGCCGTGGCCAATTCGGTGGATCGGATGCGAAGTGCAGGGCGAGAGGCAAAAATTTGCCAACGCCTGTCAGCTTAGCGATCGCCAGTACGGAACATGCGAAATTACGCTTGTTAGTGTCACTTCTGGCTAACTGCCTAGGCCCACCCATCACCTATCGCCCAGCATCCCATCCAGCACCCCATCCGCCTCACATCATGCACTGCTTATAACTCTCTGCAGTTCAACAAAGTTCAAAGTACAGACATTAAAGTTCTAAGTTTTAAAGGGAAATATATAAATTGTTTGAAATATTTTTACATTTACAATAAAATGTAAATATGTAAGAACATAACTTTAGTTTAATCATATCAGAACTAAATATGTAGCTGATTTTTCTTTCCTTATGATTTTACTTTCTTATCTTTCCCTAAAACTTCATAGTTTTTCTTTCAAAATTAAACTCATAATCGCATCGCTTAAATATATTAAGTACCCCGTTCCCACAATTAAGTTAGTGATGTGGACAATTACCTGACTTCACGGAGCAATAGATGTGACGCCGGCTGACGTAGGAGACCCAGTCGAAACCGGCCTCCACGGCAAGGCGGGCCAGCATACCATACTTGGCTTGGTCCCGATCCGAGGTGGCAATGGTTACGGCCCGGCCCTCGTAGTGCAGCGACTCCTGGCCATGCTGATAATCCTCGTCCCAGCTCTCGGTGACCAGCAGGCGGACGCCCGGCCACTCGTTCATCACGGAGTAGGCCAGCACGTTCAGCTTCTCCTTGCAGCGCTGGAAAAGAGGAACAGAACGGAGATGGGGTCAATTAGGCATTGTTAATAGCCAGACGCCATGTTTAATTCACGCACCACGCACCGCACACGGCCGAGCGGGATGGATATAGTGCTGTGCGAGTGTACGTGTGTGTGCGCTAAGGGGCGTGGCATGCGGGCGTTCATTTCGGTGGCCCAAAGGGCCCAAACGCGTTCATTTCGTTTCAGTTCTTCGTTTCGGTTTGGTACGGGGGAAGCCACTTTAGTGCCTTGGCAAGGTGTTTTATAACTTTGGTCAGCTGTTTGTAATGAATATTAAGCTTGTAATATATAGTTGTGATCAGTATTATGAGATACAATTTAAATTAGATTATTTTTATTTAAGAAAACTGATTTGGAAAGGTGAAGTATATATCTTGAAGCAATCAAGGAAAGAATCATAACTTAAAACCGGTTTAGGGTCTTGAATTTCATCAAAATTTAACTTTTGGTTAAAAAGCTGAGACATATATTGGAGATTATTTATAAATTTATTGTTGAGATATTTTTAAAATTAATTTGAATACATAAAATATTAAATATATATTAGGATATCATTTCTATCCATTAAATTATTTTATGTAAACTATAAAAGTATATAAACATCGACTTCCCTCTCCACTTGTCTTATTTACCTATCCATTCCCCCCAACCTGCGCCCCGTGAGTCTGCCTTTTTTCGTCGAGGTGCTTTCGGCTGAGCCGCATCCTTTGAACCTGTTGCTGCAACCTCAACAAACAGTTGAGCGTGTTTGCGCAGTTCCCTTTTGGCCAAAGGCTTATTTGCCCATGCTTATGCTCAGTTCAAACACTGACCCTACCCTACCTTACCCGCCACGCTGACCCTAACCCACGGATCACGGATAAATGCCGGGATCGTACCTTTTATTTTCTCCCTTTTTTCCCTCTTTGTTTTTCCTGTCGATAATATGAAAATGCTTACGCTTTGTTTGCCAATGTGGTGGGTGCTGCTCGCTCATTCCCATTCCCCGTCCGTCTGTCCGCGTTTGTCGGCTCGTTTCCATTTGATTTTTTAGCTCTAGCCCGGGAGAAATGCCAGTCGAGCAGAAAAGGATTCGAACAAGTCTATGCAAATATTTGGGATACAAAATAACCAAAGAAAAAAGAGAAAAAACCAAGAGAGATCCATGGTATCTTTTGGATTGAGCTCGGCACTGGCCGCAAAATCAATTATCAACGGACAGGCGACGGTGACAGGATGTTGCCTTTGTGTGCAAACAGAATTCGGGGCCCGTTGCTGGCGTAAAATCAATTTGCGGCCAGAGGTCCTTTTTAACAAACCACAGCGATCGGTTCTGCCTTTTCGGGCTTATGTTTTGATGAGGTGTGGATCTGTATCGGAATTGGACTGGTAGTCTGGCTGTGTTTGCTATTATTTGGCTAAAACAAACGGTCGAATTTGTCACACACAGCGCAACATCCGCAACTGTGGCAAATCGAGATCGTAGCGAGGTGGCAGCCGCTCGCCGCATTCCGGGAAGAGTTCAATGATATTTGCCAGGCCGCTGCAACTTTGCTTTATTAAAAGGCTTAACCAGTCGAGAGTTGAGAGCCGAGAGCCGAGCCGTGCTAATGAGCTCAAAAGCGTAACGCCAAACAGTCAACGGCAAACAGAAACAGAAACAGAGGTTGCCTCGGGATATGGTAGATGTGGCATGGAACTGGTTGGGGAAAGACAAACGCTTTTGTCTTAAGCACTGCCAACGATGTTTACCCAACATGCTAATGCATTGAGCTCGAATTCGAATCGATGCGCTGGACGCGCAATGAACAAACAACGGCCGGCTCAGATCTCGGATCTGGGATCTCGCAGGTTCCATGGCAAATCCCCGATCCCATATCCCAGATCCCAGATCCATGAGGAACGCCAACGTTTGCCGACGGGTGCGTAAGGTAAACATTTACGGATACCAAACGCAGCGGCGTCGGCGGCCCAAAAAGATGGCTAAATAATGTGTGTGCCTTGTAAGTGGCCGTTAGACAACAGCGTCAAGTGTAAATAAGCCCGTGCCTGGATCGGAAAACCCAGTTCCCCCAACCCACTACCAATACCAATGCCAATACTAATACCAATCCCCAGCCCCCTGCCCCATCCCGGCAACCCACAAAAGCTGCATTAATTAGACATTCAACAAGGTGTGAACTTTGCCCAGCCATTACCCCGAAATGGGGAAAATCAGAGACTGAGATGCGGCCACGCCCCATTGTGTTTACACGGCGAACGGCTGCATTTGATTTCCTACAGCTTTCCACCTCGATCGTGGCTATTTCGGGGCTTTATTTTATTCCGCCATTCGCTTGATGCGTTTTTAATTGCCACGACTGCAGTTTTATTGATTTAAATTGTCTGGCTGGCTGCCAATTTGACGCTTTTAATGGTCGGGGCGAAATTATTATGGCACGAAGATTATTAGGCACTCATCATCATTAGGCCAAGTTGAGCTGGCTATTAGCCGGCTCACCCAGAGCCCAGAGTTACCGGGCTTTGTTTGTTTTGGCCCCCTCTTATTCCATGCCACGACATCCCCATCCCTGCGGACGGACGAGAGGGTCTCGGATTACTGGTGCCCCAGGAACACCGACGATTAGGAAACGACACAATTTAACGACATAATTCAAGTGCGCATTAAGTTACTGGCTGCCAGGTTGCCAGGGGAGTCACCCCTTTCATTTTTTTCTCCTTCAGATGCACGTGCTCTATGGTGTAAGCAGATATGGCATATCCTTTGATTCCCGGCACTGATTGCGATCGCAGAGGAAGCGAAAACTTACAACTGAGGAAGCGACACAGGATATATGCAGTCGAAAAAAAGCAGAGAAACGCTGAGGAAATCACGTCACCCACCCGGCACACATGGCCAGTATACACACACACGATATGTGTGTCAACAGCCTGGAGGATGGGGTTGCTGCTTCCAGGCCAGAGTGGGGAGTGAGGAACCGAGGTGGGCCACTTGAGGGGCCTTGGCTCTTTTGGCAGCCACTTAGGTGGCAACGCCTCCGAGATAGAGAGATACAGATCGAGATCCGTCAGCGGGCCGCCGCCCTGTGTGGCCCACTCGAGCACTGATTTCCTTACTTAATTGGCAAACGGGGAGCAGGGACTCCACAGATGCCGATCCCTGATGGATTCAAGTGCAGGGCCAATGCCAATCCGCCGTCGCTCCACCACTGTTTATTTGGGTTGCAAATCTATTCACAGCTCTTCATTAGAATTAGCGGCGGTCTTTGATTGTTTACGCTGCGCTGGCAGCGCAATTATTACAGCGCAAAAATCAGAAATCGAAGTTTTAATTAATCGGAAACGCTCTGCCGGGGGGAAGGGGTGTGCGGAATGTGACTGTGTTTACGGAATCTCTGAAAGATGGGGGTCCGAAGTCTGCTCCTGTCTGTTTGTTTGCGCTTTTTGTTTCGAATATAAATGGCAATGAATTATAAAAGGGGCAACCTTTATTGGATTAATGGATATGGAGACGGCGATGGAGTTGAAATTGAGGAGTCTCCGCTAATTGATTTTTCCCACTTTGTTAAATACAGAAAGATGAAAGCCTAATTTCACATAAATTTCGATTTGGAAACTTCATAATTCTGCTATATCTATAGTAAAGTATTCCCCCGTAAATCGTTACAATAGGCATTTATTAGCATTTTGCAACGCATTACAGTTGCTCGTAAATCTCGCGTCAAATAAATGTCCATAAAGGGAAGGCGTCATTTTATTGTTATTAATTAAACGCTATTAATTTGCAGAAATCGTAAATTAAATCTCAGCTGTGGCCTATTGCCTCACCTGCCCCGTCGTCTGCCTGCCACTGCCGCATTTAATGTCCCCCCGGCGATCAGCAAAAGTCATTTGGAGGAGGCAGCAGGTAAGAGCTGGAGCCCGGGTCTTAAATGATAAGCGCCATAATCCCTGATGTGTGATTAACTTTGATGATGAGTTATGAGCCGCACATTGGCACTGATGGGCTCCGGGGTACGGTATGGGTTGGAGTTAGGGCTTGGGGTTTGGGGTTTGGGGATCCAAACACACACACCGATGACTTGCAGGAATCGAGAGAGACAAGACGAGACGAGACGAGAGCCATGTGAAATGTGAGTCACTCGCCCAGCAGTAATGTGATAGCCGCGACGCGATCTCTGATCGCGATCTCCTCTGCCTCCGCGGCGCAAGTTCATAAAAGTTTTATGCAAATAAAGCAAACGCTAAGGAGGCAGCAAAAGAGCCACAGCCAGAGCGAATATCGATGGCATTTTGGGCCAACAAATCCTTGAACATTCGCGCTTGAGTGCCCTCGTAAAAGTATCAAATTGATTAATAATAATATAAAAGCATCGCGCACAAAGGCAAAACAAACATTGCGACTGCGAATCCAGCAGGGACACTCTCGGTCTTGGGTTCTGGGATCTCGCATCTCAGATCTCGCATCTCTGGGGCATTTGGCGATTTGTCCACTTTGCCTGACTGATGTTTGTTTGATAAGTTTGATTACTTTGTTGGCCGCAGGAATGTTCCCACGAGAGAGGCTGATGTTTTGCTTATCGCAGCATTTGACGTGATTTGATTTGATTTTGGCAAGGGCAACCGAAAAAAAAGAAAAACAGAGAAGCTGGAGCCGTGACATCATTCAGTGGAGATGCTCGCATCTCCCCCCGACCAAGCATCTCACTTTTTGTCATAATAGGATCAATTTTTGAGTCATAATGTTCTATTAAAATGCCTGGGCTGTGGGCTTACTTTGATTTGATTTGACTTGATTTGATGGTGATGTCGATGTGCATGTCTGGGGATGTGGGGACCAAGAGGACTGAGAAATGAACACTGAAAACCAAAGACTGAGGACCGAAAGACTGGGAACTGGCACTGGGACTGCATGCATGTCAATAATCATATCGGATTACCCATTGGCTTTGCCCTCAGCCCCATTGTTGCTACAATTTATGAAATTTTAGAACTTATGCTGCGGCTTTTGACGCATTCTTTTGTCCGTTTGTCCGCCGCTCCTTTGTCCGTCAGTGCCTCAGTCCATCTGTCCGCTGCGGTTTCTGCCTCCGCCTGGCTGTCTAATCCCGAGGCATTCTCGGGTACTCGAGAGAGGCGTGCTCCCTAGTCACATTACCTGTAATCACCTGGTGAAGGTGGCAATCAGCAATGACTTGTCATAAGCTCTGGCATTTTACGGCGTTTTTCCAATTCGTTCGGTGGCATATTTTGGGCATTTTGCAATTTGTTTATGCAACTGAAACTGCAACACGGCACCCACACAGTCAGGGACATGCAGTTAGCTGGCCGTTTTCGAGCGTTTTAATGGCCAAAACGAATTGTTTACCAACAGAAATTCACGCACAGCGGACAGTAAGTCACTCGGCCAGATATATCCAAATCGCAATCCGCAGCCGGGCCACATAAAATGCGATTTAGTTGCGCTGCTGGTCGCAGATTCCCCCGGCACCGGACTCCTTCGCTCTCTGTGAATTCTCTACGGAACGCTGCTCAATGTCACCGCTCAATGACAGGGCTCTTCGGTAGCTAAACAGCGCGTTGTAAATATTTGCCGGGCAACAAACAGGATTTTTATGGGCCCGGTTGTCCTTGGTCATTTAGTCAAATGCCGGTAAGACCTTGGCCAGGCTTTGACTCTCGTCCTTGGGCGGGACAATTGCCGGTGTCACTGCGGCGATTCGGCTGCCGTGCATGCAACTGTTAATTGTTTGCCAGTTTCTGGAAAGACTGCGATACCGGGGTACCCTGATTGCATATCAAATTCAAGGTGACCATTTATTAGAGCCCCGATGGGCGCGTGGCAGTTGCCAAAGGCAATTTGGGCAGAGTGTTTTGTAAGTGAAATGCTAGCTGGCCCACAGCTGTTTTGGAAAAATGATTCATCCCATGATGATTTGCTCAAGTACAGTGGAGATCCTTAACTATTTCTGGAATCGCCGTCGTAAATAGATTATAAATCTATAAAGCGAAAGTCATTATATATACCCCGAGTGTTATATTATAATCCTAAATCAACTTATATTATTTGGCAGGCGCTCGTAATCAGCCATCTGATAGTTCTGATTATAGACCTCTTGTTCAAGAGCCATATTGCTCCAAATCGTGGCCAAGGGAACTGGAAGTCTCCCATAAACTTTTAATGGCCAATGGTTTATGGAGCTAATCAATAACAACGTTATTTTTAACACCTAGTCAGCACTTAAAATTTCATTAAAATAACAATATTTGCCGCGATAAGCGGCTGTGTATATAAGAAGTGTGCCTCAATGTCAGACCTCTTTTACGAAGGCCTGACTGTGCGGAGCCCCGATTGAACGGCAATGCAGCCGCCAAACACAGTTGGCTAATTGAAAAGGCTGCTGTCGACGGAATTAAGCACTTGTTTTACCGCGGTTTTGCACTTTGGAAACCCAACTACCCTGGCGAATTGCCCCCTCTTCACTTTCACTGGCCACCCCTCATGTTGGGCGATAAGATATTGCCTTAGCTGGTGTCTTAACACACATTCTGCGTTCGAGATATACCCCAAGCAGCGACCTATAGGTGTCTCTATACACTGAAATTAATTTCTAGAACTTTCCTAAATATATTTATAATAAAAATATATAATTTGTGAAAATGAAAAGTATGCAAACATGGTACAAAGTACGAAAAAGTTATAAAATTTAGATTTTTAAGACTGTTTTTCTCCCTGTATACATGTGTACATATGTAGCTCGTGATGTTGGCAAATACAGAAACACTAGGCGTATCTTGTACTACATATGTAGCTGGTATTGTATTGGCGAACGGCTACTACTTGGCTGCAGGCTGCTTATCAGACAAACGCCGGCGATAAGCGCAAATGCTCGCGTGCCTTGCTTGGGGCGCAGACAGGTGGACGCAGGGGTTTGTGGTGGTGGACTCCACCGGAGCCGGCACTTAATCCCCTCGCGCTCGATACCCTGTTTGTTGTTCAGCGCGAAATCGAAAACGCATTTGCCGTGCGAATGTGTCGAGTATTTGCGATGATGATCCCCGGATCGATTGGACTTGGGCTGGAGCTCGAGCTCGAGGTGATTGAACGCACACTCGTATTTGTTTGGATTAAATGTCCCGGGCAGCTTTATGGCTTAGTTCGGTGGAATTCGCCGCTATCTGCTGTTAAAACCCTTGGCTTTCGAGTATCGGGCTTCCTGTTATTTGGCACTGGCGAAATAAGTGCAGTCGGTTGGGCCGATAAGATGCATAATTAATCATAATTTGCCAATGGTCAAACTAATGCGATATTTACTTCTTGCTTTTATTGCTCGCACCGAGTCCGGTCGCCGGAGTCCATAAAGATTCGAAAATAGCCAATGCGAGTCGATGATTGGCATATTTCCGAACCCACACTCCGCCACGTACCTGTTATCAGTGGGCATCGAGTGGCGCAATCTCGTGCCATCGGGCGATCCCCGATAGCGGCCGGACTGCCTGGGATTAGCACTCGCTAATATGACAATTGAATTTGTGTTCACGGGGTGGCAAAAGTTGGGGGCAGTGCGCAATGAGCCGGGAATTAGCCTAGCTCCGGAACGGAACCAAGCAGTCTATCTGCCGATTGGGCACGGGACATAAATCTATAGCTTTATGATGTCTGCAAGGCAGCCAAAAATGATTCACTTTACTTGTAGATTATTAAATTCCGATACGAAGAAGTCTATGAAATACTCAACTACTTGGAGTTTTTCATTGTGGAATTTTATATGAATAAATTTATATATTTATATGAATTAATGATTCACTTTACTTTTTGATTATTAAATTCCGATACGAAAAAGTCTAAGTAATACTATGAATTTTTCATTTTAAAATTTTATATGAATAATATATTCTTGCTTAATTCCAATATAACATATTCAAAGTAATTCAAATGGGAATTTTAAATGAATAATATTTTGTTTGTGGGAAATATTTATTCTAATATTTCACTGTTTCAAGTCATGATTTATACTTTTTATATCACATTGAATTCACATTATATTTCACCACTAATATCTTTATTATTTTCCTACATGACGTTGCTAGACAGCACAGTTATTTTCCTAATAGTAACCCAGAGATATGGTCGGAATTTGGACTGCAAAAATAATGGTCATTCCATGGCCGATAGACAACTTAGTCATTTTCATGTTAAAAGTCAGACTATGATCTGATTTTTATTGATGGAAATGTTAGTCGTGTCACCGATAGGAAACACTTGAAATGAAAACATGCCGAATTGATGACCAATTACTGAGATACGATACTGATTAAATTCTTTGCAACTCACCTTGCTCATCAAGCGATCCGCTCCGGTGCCCTCCTCGTCGCGGAACAGGATATCCCGATTGTAGTTTGGCACCAGGTCCTTGAACTTGGGCGAATCCCGCCGGATCTCGCCTTCGAGAGGCCCGGAGGCGCCGTTTTGGTACTCGGAGAGATTGGGAATGGTCTGTTTGAGCACCAGCGGGTAGAGGTTACGCTCCCGGCGACGGCCCAGACCTCGGCCAGGACCGCAGCTGTGGGCCGGCGTAAAGCTCAGCGGCAGAACGAGGAGCAGGACAGCCAGCAGAGTGGTCAGCCTGCTGGCGCAACGCTGCGTATGCGCAATGTGGCGCATATTCTGCGATTCGGGAGCCGGGGAGCTGCTGCTGCTGCTGGTGCTGCAGTCGGAACTGGAGTCGGAGCTGGAACTGTGGCATTTGGCGTCTAGCGAGAGACAGGTGACACTGGCGGCACTGGCCCAAGGCACACAGTCGCTGTTATCCATGATTGGTATGTGTTTGGATTTGATTTAATGGGATTGGCTTGGATTGGCTTGCTGTTTGCTGTTTCTCTCGCTTAATTTTCTATTTGGTTGTTTAGCACTTCACTTTTGGCACACTGAGACACTGCGGCACGCTTTCATTAACGATTTCTTCGGCACGGTACGGCGGAGTCCTAACTCAGCTCAGGCAGCTAGCTCTCGGATCGGACAACCGTTGCGCTCGCACTGTGATTGACAAATGACATTTCCGAGCTGAGTATCTGTGAGCTGCGAGCTGTGAGTACGAGTACGAGTGCGGATACGAAAAGGCACACGAAGGCGAGTGCGGCAGCGAGAGGGTGCTTGCCTCCATGGGCTCTCGTCTGCTAGGCCTCTGCTCACGCACACTTGTGCGCCTCTATTCAGCCGAGTTCACTCTCGCTGCGGCTGTGTGAGTGGAGTGCTTCATTGGTATTCAGCCGATCGCTTCGGGTGTTCATTTATGTTCATTTATGCTGCGCACGAGAGAGAACGGGACAACCGTACAACCGAGCAGACACGCACACACAGGCGCACTGGAGACCCGTTCCCAAGTATGGGTGTCTTCGGGTATCTTTTGGTGTGCTATGTACTCCTCGCCTCCACCAGATGTTGAGATGGTAGTGTATGCTGGGTCCGTGTGGCGATGCCAATTGGATGCACTGGTGTGCGTCAGCCGAGAGGCATCCTCGGCTGCAATTTCTCTTAACACTTGCACTACTCGACTCTTGTGGCTTGTTAGCCGCTCCTGTCCCTGCTCCTCCTCCTACTCCTGCTGCTGCTGCTGCCTTCCTCCGCTCATTGTTCACTTTTTTCCGTTGCCTTTCTTCGGTTTTGTTGTTCGTTTCGCTTTATTGCTTGTAAATTAATAATGTTCCGGTTTTTTGTGTATTGTGCGGCTCCTTGGCAGCCGTACATAAGCCACCTTTACCGCATATATATGTACATATATACATGGTAAGTGGAGTATATGGGTTCCAGAGCCGCCTGTATTACAGCATTTTGCGGCCAACTTCCGTTTGAGAAGTTTCTGGAGGAGTCGCGGCGGGTCAGGGACTCCCCATCGCAATCCACTGGAATTTCCAGCACTAAAGCTAGTGTTATATGACAGCACTCACATCGCTTAATGACTCATTAATGTCGCACTCGGAAGTCGGTTAGATATTGGCAATCTTCAGATTAGATATGGCCACGGGAAGAGCGAATTATTGTTGCAATCGAACAGCAATCAAATCTATTTTGTCGCTGCGTAAATACCCTTTAATACCTATAATATATTTCTATATTGACAGATGAGGGCAGCCAGTCGATAACGATTTGGGCAAACACAATTTGCAATTACTTTATATTTAGGCCCAGCAAATAGGTGACTTGCGACTGATGCCAGCTCTCGAGAAATTCCCCGCTTTTATTTGTATTTATTTTTGGATACACATAAACCCAAAGCTAATGCATATTCGGCATTAATTGCAATATGAAATGACTTATGACTTAACTACCTACCTAATTAGCGATCTTGGCAGAAGCCTCAGTCTTATGCACTGAGTAATAATTCAGAGATCGAGTATATTACTGACATTAATTACTGTTTTTAAGATGTGTTTGTTTGGACACACTTATCTATGTACACGTTAGAGTCTACAGCTTCAATCGCAGTGACATATGGCTTAACTTGACTTGACTTGGAATAGGTTTAAGTATCTTAGCCAGAAATCGAGTATACGTAATTACTTTTTTCCGCAGTAACCTTGGCTCTGTTTACTTTGGCTAATTTAGAGTTCGCCGGAATTGCCATCTGCGGTTGGGCTTTTCGCACTTTTCGAACTTGGATCGCAGACTTTGTCGGGATTTGGATTGTGGTGTGACCACCCCCGCCTGGATTTTGTTTTGGCCAGCACCTCAATAGACCTTTTTGCGGTTGCACTTGGCCGGGTCTATTGACACTGTCACTTGGCAAGTGCGAATCGTGGAACACGCTCGTCATGTGTGCCCAAGAAATTGTCACCTGCGGGCCGGGCGAACAAAGGGCTGCTGCACCTGCTGCCGTATATACAGACATATAACGGCATCCAATAAAATAGCCAGCTCTTTTTTGGTAACGCGCAGGAATGCAAAGCGTAGCATAATTTCAACAACAACATCTACAAAAAAAAGAACGAACAGTAAGAGGAGAAATACAAAAAGAAATACTACATTCAATAGCTCCTCTTGGCGGCGAGATATAAGAGAAGGCAAAACGCCATCAACGAGATACACGGAACCAAATTAAAGATGAAGAAGCTGGAGAGGAGCCGGCCAAGGGGGGCCTGCGAGGGAAGGGGTGGATGGGGCTGGATGGGAAGCACAGAGAAGCCGAGCCAGCAGCATCCAATATCCAGCATCCAACATCCATCGGCCTGTGCAGCTGTGTGTGCGAGCGAGTCTATGTGGCTGCCACATAAATTTCTGGCTTCATTGTGTGCGCGGCAACTCATTACGTTGCCTCCGTCTCAGAGTATGGGTGCGTATCTGTGTATCTGTGTTGGGGCGGAGCTGCTTAAGGCGCTCATTTGTGAATGAACACGCCGTGAACAAGGCAGATACGAAGACCATCCCGAGACCAGACAACAATCGCTCCGGCACTTAATGAGCATGAATAAATGGCATCGCATCGCATAGCAGCGCGGGAACGAGACGGCGAGCGGGCATCATAATCACGATCATATAGATCGCGCTCTTGGCCAAAAACCGAAAAACAAAGACGAACCAAAGAAACAAAAAGCAAAAAACAAAAAAACACTAAATAAATAAGCTAACAGATACAGCCGAGTCCCTTTGAGATAAAAAGCCGCAGATTAGTTTCTGTAATTAGATTTGGTCCAGCATTGATTTATGTGAATATTAATGGGACGACAGTTATAAACCCAAATCGAATTTTAATGGCAACCTGTAATGCTGCACAGAAAGTAATTTTGGGTAATGATTTTGTTTTTAACTTATTGATTATGTGTTTTCTTCCAAAAATTATTTAGATAACAAAATTTAAAAAATTTCTCCAATTTTACAACTTATGTAGTTTCTTGTAAAAAAAAAAGGATGGTAACTGGTAAAAATCATGATCCTTAAAGACTGCCTCCCTCATAAAATAGACATATACGCCGCCGCGCCACGCCGCCGCCGCCGCCGATTTTTGCCTTATTTGACGCGCCGCCGCCAAATTATGAAAATAACGGCGCGCCGCGGCGCGCCGCTGGTGCGGCATCGGCGCAGCTTCAGCGCGGCCTTCAGTGTCATTGTTCTTTATAAAACTTAAAAAAAAATAAATAACTCATTAAAATGGCCTTTTTGCCTTATTTGACGCGCCGCCGCCGCCGGTTCTTTCTGACTACTACGCCGCCGCCGCCGAGTCATTTTGACCTCTACGCCGCCGCCGATGCCTTTAACCATCGGCGTAAACCTCTATCATAAAATATAAGAATAAGAAATAAATTTTTAACATTTATAGTAATTTTCAGTTAAGTGTCACAAGTATTTCCAAAAATTTGAAATGAACCAAAAAGCTGATCTAATGTATGCAATATAAGTATTTAATGTACTTTAGTAATTTCTATTTGAACAGTTAACATAATTTTAGTTTGTAATCCTAGTTCTACAGCGATTCCCGAAACAAAAGATTTCCTATTAAAATGATCTACATCTTCAAAATTATTTATAGACTAGAATATCAAGTGACTCATCTCACAAGTTAAAGTTCATGAACCATTTTTTATAATACAAATTTGTTACTTGCTCCGTTGTTACCAAAATAGTGGAACCGGAAATGCCTGATCCATTTGCTGGCCCAACTTTTCTTAGCCAGCTCAGCTATATTCGACTCAACATCCATGGACAGATGCCAAAGAGCAGATGGAACGCCATTTTCTGTGCGCCATGGCGCGTCCGCATCCAACGGCGTCTCTGTCTGCTTTTAATTTCTTTTAATGGAAGTTGTTAACATGGCTGCTGCTGCTGCTGCCTCGCCCGGCTCCTCGTCCCTATCCCCTCCAGTCAGCCGCTCCTCCCCTGAGTCCAGTTTCAGCTTGGATCCCACCATTCCCACCAACGCCATGGGTTGCGGCTGATTTGCTCTTTTTGTTTCCCTTACTTTTCGTTGGTGTTTCGATCATAAAATTTCGATATGAAACTTGAATTTTTGTTTCTTTTTATGCGCTTACACAGGTTGCGGGCATGTGGCTTATGCAATGGGGTTTGGGGAGAGGAGAAAAAATATATTTTTAATAAAAAGACGTTAATTTTACACCATGCAGGTGATTATTCAACACATACTTTATGTTATAATTATTATTTATTTATTTAATACTAGTTTTGGAAAGGTATGCTTACCAAAAAAAAAATACGTTCAGCCTTTTATTAAGGAGATTTCCTTAAGGTAACCTTTAAATTATGATTATATATAGAGCATCTGGTGGTCGTGGCCACCTCTGACTCCTCAACTATGCCGCTCTCGCTTGGAGTTCATTGAATTTTCAAAGTGCTTTATGGCCACTGAGCTAGCTGGCAAGTTTGTTGCCAAAGTCTTTTGTTTTGGCTGCACAAGCATGGACGCCTGGCATTAGAGAGAGAGAATCATGAGCAGCCACATAATTAACAAATAATGGCCATAACGCGTGCTTTGGCCCGTCGCACCGGTTTTCTCGGCTTGTCGCGAAGGTCATGCGGTAATTTAATAACTGCTACTAACTAATATTTACGGGAATATTTATATTGTTTATGGCCCGCTTTCGACGGCAGCCAAAGGGGTTCTTACGCCTGTCCAACCAGACTCAATACCAACACCGATGCCGAGCAGAGTTCCCAGATCAAGCCAATGCCGATTTCGGTTTGATTCCAAGAAGCAGGCACTCAATCATGCTGCGCGTTGTGGGCCTCTTGTTGTGACTGCGGCCTCATAGCGTGCGACAAATGCCACTAACGGTTTGAGGTCTCTAATGGATGTTGACATTTACGGCTACCAGGGATTTGGACGTGGCTGCGGCCCTAGCTGGGCGGGGAGATGGCTGTTTAATTCACATAAATCTAAGTGAAATGCCATTGGGGAATTGCTGCCGATATAGAAATTAGGCAAATGGATGGATGTGTCTCCGGTATTCCGAAGAATTTGCTACCACAGACGGGCGGCAACAAAGGCAGGAACAGAGACTGAATGGGAATGGGCATGGATATGGGCCCAGGAGCAAAGGGGAAGGCGTGCAGAGACGGCAGGGGCCAAGGGCCTGTAACATAAACATTCCCAGTCACAGTCACAGTTACAGTGCGAGCATAAAAAGGGTCGCAGTAACACTCGGACTCCCTTCCCATTCCCCTTCTCACGCCGAGTGTCTGTGTGTGTACAAGCATTTGTCAACTGGCCTCCTTTTGATCCTGGCCGGCACGAGAGTCAAAAAGTCGTAAGCGGCGCAGTTATCATTGTGCAGTGGGCTCATTGTGCTATCAGCTGGCAGCGATCGATGCGGTTTAAACAGCAGTCGAGATCCCGGTGAGTAAGCAGCCTCGTTGGTAGGAGAACCTGGAGAACCAACCTGGCCGATGGCCACATGCGGCGCATATTTGGCCAACAGTTTTTGCACGAGACAAACCACAAAAATGCAGTCGAATGCCCCGGCCGAATCAGTACACAAATCAAATTTCGATAGATATGGAAACATATGTCTCTGAATTACTAGAAAAAAGGAATTGAATTTACCTTTGATGTACTCGGCAAATTCTAAGAACTACATTTGGGGCATATGGTAATCGAAAAAATGCTAAAATTAAAAGATCTTTTCAAATTTTTAAATAATCCATGTACTATTATAGATTATAATAGTGTATTGCAAAAGTGTACCACTTCGGCCTCCTGATTTGCGGCTAACAAATTGCTTAGCCACATGGAAGGAATCCCATGCTGCTTCGCCCATGCTTACCACAAAGCCAAGCGGCAGCACTTACTTAAAATATTAAACAACGCTGAGCCGTTGTTGCCCTCTCGAGCATCTGAAGATGCAAGCGAAGACCTGGAGAGACCAGATCCGCACCTAGATCCAGACACAGACGAGTCACATGGATGCGCCCTCAAGTGGCCGTGCAGGCGACAGCGAAGGGGGCACCGCGGAGGGGCGAACGGTCGTCGAGTATGAGTATTTAAATGTGTATCATGGCGGTGGTCAAGTGAAGCGCATGCGTTGATGGACTTGAATTATATGCGACTTAAGCTCCGCACGGCTGCCGTTGCCGATGCCATCCGCATCGGCATCCTCGGCAGCCAGTGCCATAAAAATTAAAAGTCATTATGGCCTGGAACAGCATTTAAGCCGTGGCAATGCCAGCAGCTCCGTGTGCGAGTGTCTCTGAATGTGGGGAGATCGTGGCACATTCCCACAGTCAGAGTCCCAGGCCCAGGCCCAAGCCCAGTCACAGTCACAGTCCCAGTCTCAGTGCCTGTGCCAGATCCCGGGTCGGATCGGATCGGCTCTCGAGTGTCGCTGGGCTGTCAGAAAGTGCCATGAGACGGCAGCCACATGCGTCCACTTGGAGTGGGTTAATATTTGTTTGCTTTATCATTTTGAATTGACAGCAAAGTGGCGCTTGTTGCTCTTGTTGTTGCTGTTACTTCTGTTCCTGCTGTTGTTGCTGGCGGACCCAGCGGGCGGGCCGCGTCGAAGGCTCAAGTTGTTTGTTGTCTGCGCGCCGATTATGGAAAGTTGATGACCACCGGACACAAAAGCATTGGGAGGCATAGGTAACATAGGTGAGACACCGTATGCTCTGGCTTCAAGTGCTGTTTTGGGGGGCTTAGAAAATTGCACATTTATTTTTGAAAGGGTTTTCCATTTAAAAAATGCCAATACTCCGTATACTCCCTTTTTGTTATGCGCCGCTCGTGGCCAAATGCCGCCCGGCCACAAAAACCGCACGCGGAATGCAGCCGTTGGCCATGTGGGGTTCTAGGACGGGCTAAGAGGGGCTTACGGGGGGTGCAGGCGGAACTGGAGGGCGGCAACTGCCAGGCAACACATCGTTAAGTCCCGGCCAACATCAACGTCAACGCCTGTGCCGGTTAAATAGATTTTCGTTACTCTACACAGTCAGTATAATCGGTTTCGCTAACCAGTTTGCCAGCTTCTTCAGATGGGTCTAAATAATTGCAAGGAACTTATTTGATCCTGGACTTAAGACTATCAATCTTTTTTTTATATGGGATTCAAAACTAACCTGGTTATAAGATTTCTAGTAATATATTTGGATATTTATTCTCTAATTTTATGTGATAATATTTAAAAACAAAATTAAAGCTTAAAAATATTATCATTCAGCAAAAAAATCATCAATTCAATTTGAAAAGTATTTCAACGCTAGTTCTGCCTACTTAATTTATAATTTTAATATATCAACATTCTTGCCAATTTTTAAAAAATTTAACAATAAAACCCCGGTCGAATTTTGAACAAAAATTAAAAAAATGTTTTTCCTATAAGCATGACAAAAAATTCACCTTTTGATGCTGATCAAGAATAAATATACTTAATAGGGTCGGGTTGTTATCCTTCACTGCGTAAACAACTTCTGACTAAAATTACAATACCCTGCAAGGGTATAAAAATATTTACCATTCTTATTCAGAAAATGTAAGCAATATTAGAATAAAAAGCAAAATGTATAAAATACGTTTTCAAATACCTTTTTTTAATTATGATGAGATATGGTATATATTTACATACATAAATATCCACCTAGAACTTATAACTCAGACGAATTCTGCACATGAAAAAACTTACCTGGCCAGTATAGAACAATCATTATTTTGGGTAAACATAGAGAGTATCCACTCCATCGATATACCGCTAATGAGCTTTCATCCTTGTCACTCTTTTTTTGGGGTCGCCTTGCGCTCTCCTTCGCTTGGCTTTGATCTGCGGATGCTGCAGGCAGGACGGCAGGCAGTCGGCCAGGGTCCAGAGGTAGCCACACGAGTCCCATTCCGTCCCGTTTCGACCCGATCCGATCCGACCAACTGCAGCAAATTGAAAATTGATTTTTGAGCAGAGCTCGGCGCGCCAAGTTCGCTGCCTAAGTCTTTCGTTTCGACTCGTTTCATTTCGTTTCGTTCGGATGAGTCAAAGTACACGCCATGAAATTCCCACATAAATTGCGCGCGTTGTCAAATTAAAAATGCCTAATGAGCTGATCGGGGCAGGCCCGATGCAAAAGAGCTGAAAAATGCATTAGAAGCAGCAGGGACTCTGGATCCTGCATCCCAATCCGTCCCCTTCTCGACCAGCTCCAGTCGACGGCTGCGGCGGCGGCGAAATGTATCGTGTTACAAATCACGGCGGGGCGTGCGGGCGGGACCACGGCAGCATCAGCAGCGGCAGCAGCAGCAACAACAAGAACAAGTTTCGAGTGGAAATGCGTGTAGCGTGCAGCGTGCGAAACACTGCAGAACATGGACACGAATCGAGGCGAAAGCCTGATGCCGATCCGATCTCCTCCCTGGACGCTCTCGAACATGTCCACTTGGCCAGCGTCTAAAAATAGTTGGGAGACGCTGGCGGCGGGGCCAAGAGTTGGCCATCATTCAGCATCCAACATTCAATGTACAACCACCAGCATCCAGCATGAAAAATGGCAACACTTTTGCGCTCATAAAACCTATTTATATTTATATGCCAGGCAGCTAGCTCACCAATATGCCCGCTCGTTCCACTGCAGTGTGCTTCCCCACAATGCGCAGGCGCAGGCGCAAGCGCGTGAGATCGCCACGCAAGATCGGAAGGCAGGCAGAAGGAGTCGGAGCCCATGTCCAGGGCCCAGTCCAGTTTGAAGACGGGACCACACAAATACAGGCACGCGTTCGCTGACAGAATAAAAATTGTTGCGCTTGTGTTTAACGCGCGAACGCGGCGATATCGCAGCAGCAGCAGCATCCTACCTTGTTTCAAACTGGCTCCCTGGACCTCGATGGCTCAGGTTAAAGTGGCAGCGGAGAGATGGGTTGCGAAGGTTCGGATGCAGGAGGAGGGTAGAGGCAGGCAGCCGGGGCATTGTCGGCTTGCTTAGCTATCACTGAACGATTATCGTGCATTTTAAAATTCTTACGAGTTTCTGACGTTGTTGTTGCTGCTGCTCTGCGCCTTGCCTTTACCTTTTATATTGCCCTTTTCTCTGCTGCTCTTTGTTGCTGTTGCTGTTGTTGTTGTTGCCGGGCCAGATTGGAATCACGCATGGGAACCAAGCGCCTTGGCTTTGTCTTGTCTGCAGACTGCAAAAAATAAAAAATCCCTAAAAAAAATAAAGAAAAGGAAAAAATTGCGGCATTCTCATCAACAAATTAGGAAAGGGATATATAATAACCAACAAACTCTGGGGTGCTTGCTTTAAACATGGTTTTATTAATCTTTCTTTTAAATAGTAATTTGTATTTATCAATTTGTTAATTGCATAGTTTACATAGTACTTCAATGTAGTAACTCTCCTTAGCAAACGCCAATATACAAACTCCATCAGTGGCTGCCTCGCCCTCATCTTCCGCTATATCGGTTCGATTATTGCCAACATATAGGATCGATCGTAAATACATACATATACTGAGGTGTGTACATTCGGATTGAGGCAGATGCATTTGTTGCTTTTGTGGTCACCTTGGACAAACATTCTCGATTCGGAAATACATAACTAAATTGCTACACAATTTGCTTGATAATATTTTGATAATGCTATCATACGTAATATGCTATATATATATAAATATTCAAATATTTGTATTCATATCCGCTGTGGGCATAACTAGTTAAATAATTGATTTGTTAAGGTTGCATTGTCTACAATGTGGAAGGGTATCTTTGAGTCGGAGTCTATTGTTTGCTGCTCTTGAATGGCAACACAAATTTGCTGGTTCTGTCTTTCTCTCTAAGCACATTTATTAGCTTTAGTTAATAACTTTAGCAATAACATACAACATTAGCCGGTCGAGGGGGAGAGAAAACAAAGCGAGACTACTAAAATGTTGAAAACAAAATTATGGAAGCGTATAAGGGTCGTTTGGGTATTTAATTTTTATAATTTCAGGGGAAGGTTGTTATAAGGTGAAGTGATAAAAATAAACAGCTATGGCCGCATTTCCGCGGCAATTAATCCCCGATAAGAAACGTTATAAGTCGAGAGAGCTTTATGACATCTGACCAATATCAGTGCATTCGTATTAATATCATTCCGCGGACGCCATAAAAATAAAAGCCAAGGTATACAAACAAAAGGAAATACATATTTACTGATCGCAACGCAGGGGAGATTAAGTCAAGACTCGAACCGCAAAACATTGGTAAAAATTTTCATAGATATTCTATTAGCCATAAATGGTACATTCATATATTTGTCATATAGCCTAGGCTAGGTGTATCAGTTAACTTATGTAGGGCTGTCGAATTGCTTCGAATCTAGTTCAGCGTTTATCTCTAGTAAAAGTTTCAAATTGTTCTTATTTCATTTAGGTCTTGACACACATTTGTAGTATTCTAGAAAAAAATAATTTCATTCATATTGGTTTCAAGTTGATTCCACTTAGTTTCTATCCTGTCCTCCTTATTGTGAGTGTCTCTGTGTGGGCTTGGTTCGCATAAAGTTGCATAAATCTATTTTTTTATATTTTTGTGTAGACATCTTTAAAATACAAGACAGTACTTTCGGTTGCAAGTTGCTCGGTCTCCGCGATTTCATCATTAAAATTCCTGTTCGGTGTTCAGAGTTGTTGTTGTTGTTGTTGTTTATCCCTTCGGTTAACTATTCGTGTCAAACCTTTAGTTACGTTTACTACAATTTGTTCGTTAATTGTTTATTAGCTAGTTGAAACAATTTGTATATTGTTCTAGAACTACAGAGAAGTAATTGCCATTGCTTATGTTGCTCTTTTGTGAATTCTCGTTCTTGTCATTTAGTTTTAATTTTCGTTAAGAGACCCTAAAAGCTAGCTACTAATTCTTTTGATATTTTAGACATTTAGTTTGTTGTTCTCTTCATTGCGATTGTTTTGTGGTTGTTTGTGGTCTACGTGTATGACAATTCCTTTAAAATGTATATATTCTATGTGTGTTGTCCGTCTTCAATTAACTTTTAACTCGTTTAATTATTCAAGTTCTCTTCGCCGCTTGTTTTCTAAATGGAGCTGGAGCTTTACAACATTTGTTTAATATTTCTTGTTGTCATTTTGTTGTACATAAAGTCAAGTTGGTTTACAATTTGATTTGTTTTATTGCTGTCGCGAGATTGCATTCATATATAAATACTTGTATTTTTATTTTTGTTTGGTTTTTTTTTTTTTTTTTTTTTTTTTTATATATATTTCTGGATCACATATTCAAGTAGTTTCAAAATCACATAAAAATCACTCTTACAGTAGCGTATACAAAATACATGTGTCATCTATAAATATATATGTATATACTGACATATATTTCTCGATCTGGGTTCTGATTCTGGTTCTCAGCTGAGACGGGCGTGAAATGGATTCCTTGACATGTTGTAAAATTGCTTTGGATTTGGATTGAGGTCGGATTATCCGGAAATTGATAGATTTCGTGTAAGTGTTCCTAAAGAGTTATCCTTTAAATTAGTGCCCAGTCGATGAAGGTCGATTGTGTTCTGGGAGATGTTTGCGTGTTCCTTGGATTGGCACACGCTCTAGAATTAGCGACTCAACAGCTCCATTATAAAACCAATTTGTCTCTTTTCATCATTATTTTTGGTTTTCGTGATTTTTACTTGTTTATGTTATTAAATTTTTTGTGTACATCTTTGTCATAAACTATTAAAGCATTTATTATTTAACACACATTTGATTATTGTTATGTTTATTATTTTGTATTTCTTGACGTTTGGCTTCTACAAAACACAGTACAAACACACACAGAGATAAAAGCCTTTGCGCTGCCCTTGCTTGTTAGCTTTGTAATACATAATTTTTGTTAATATTTGAAGTTTCTTTTTGTATATAGGGTTCGTATATATATATATATTTTGTTGTGTATATCCTTACAGTTTTGCTTTTGTTCTCAATAAATGCCTATGCATGTTACGTTGCATTTTCAATTCATTCCCAAAACAGTCCAGTTTTGATTTTAGTTTTAATCCATTCAACTCAACTAGCTAACAATACGTCTCTGTTTCTTATTCAACATTGTCCACAGCTTTCAATAGCGGTTTATTATTATTTTTATTATAACTTTATTTTTACGCAAAAAAATACATCAATTTTTGAAGACGGTTTCACATTAACGCTGGCTAACACTTCTGATTAAACTCTATTCATTTCGCTGTATCGAGTTACTTTTATTGTTTTTTGCCTCCTACACATCACTCATCGAGTCTGCGTTCAAATGCTCCATAAATATATATCTATTCATATTCGTTCTTGTACCATCATCATCAGCAAAATGCTTGATTTTATGTATCTTAAATATTACGTTCCGACATTGACCATTTTTATTTGCTTTTACTACATTGGAAGCGTCTATTTGAGACTATGAAAGTAAAATGAAAACTGAAGTCAGCTGCAAAGTAAGTACTTAAAGCACTATATAAATCACAAAGTAACCTAGTGGAGTATATACGTGAGTTTGTAAATCTTTTTTTTTTTTTGGGTTGGGAGTATTGGCATTGGTTTGTAGACCGCCAAAACGCCCAAAAATAAAAGCAAAGTGTCTTAATCCATTAAACTTGGTTTTCGTAAAGTAAACTGAACATTTCAATAAGGAAAAGCGTTGTCGCAATTAGTTATAAATCCATTTTACACCTATAATAACTTTTGTGCAGTTAAAAAAAAAAGAAAAGAAACATGTAAGAAAAGAAAGCTAAGTGTAAATTATGATTAGTTATGACCTGTCAGTTACATAGAGTTTATGACGCTTGTCTTGGCTTTTAGTTATTGGTTATTTTCACAAGTTTGAAACACAGACATATAAAATACAGTTTGAAAATCGGCTTATACAAAATCACTGGTGGTTTTTGTTGGTTTGTTTGTTTGTGGTTGCTTGTTGCTCTTGTATGCGACAATACTTTGTTAAAGATTATTAACATGATCAATTTGTTGGTTTCTATAAATTTGTTAATAGTCAATTGCTAAAAGTGTCTAGAAAAATTAATATATATTTATATATTTATCATAATCCTTCAACCCATTACATATCGTAACAGCGGTTGTTTAGTTCTCATAATTCCTTAAGTAATACTAGTGAAAAGTACAATATGACTGAAAGTGTAGCATATTTCGAATTAAGTTACACAAAGTATACGTGCGTGTAAAAAATAAATGAGATATTGCAAATTCGTGCAGAGTTGATAGAAATAAACAAAAATAAGTATGCCTAAACACTGAAATTATCAAACAAAATTAAAAGAGAGTTGAGTTGTGTTGCATAACAGTACACAAATATAAAATGTAAATCTTTTTCAAGAGTTCCTGTAGTCGTTTTTGAAAAAAAAAATAATAATGATAAAATAAAATACAAACTCAAACAAAAATAAAATTGTTTAACTTAGATTTTAGAGCAGCTAGCTAATTCAATTAATAGTTTGTGCCTAGAAATTGCTAATATTCATGACGATAATTTGCATAATTTGCATACAGTGGAAATACAAATAATATATGCTTTACCACGTCCACTTGTATGTGGCTACTCCTACCAGATCATCGAATCAAAATTTTCAACGTTTTCCCTATGACTAAAGTTTGCTTTGTGTGTCTGTCACACACATTGTCATGACGATTCCCATTGGTATCTGCATCCGCATCCCCATTCACATCCGATCTTCAGCCAAAGGGCCACTTGTGGTCCTGTTGCTGATAGAACATGTTCTAGGTATGGGTGGTGATCACCGGCACCTGACAGTAGGGGCACTCGGTGACCGAGCCAGCGCAAGTATTGCAGATGGACAGATGGTTGCACGGCTCCAGTGTGACTGTGCGATTGTTCTCCTCACACTTCATACACTTCTTGGCGTTCTCTAAATATAATACTTTGTCGACCTCTTCCAAGTCAGTGCGCAGCTTCGACTGAAAGCAAAGCTTGTTAAACCCACACACAGCGAATTTTGTTCAGCGACTGCCTACCTGCAACTGCTTCAGTTTCTGTATGGACAAGTCCCGCAGCTCCGCCGGGAGGTTCAGTTGTATCTGGGCCAGATCATACCGCTCTTTCCACTCTAGGGCCTCCTGCTTGGCCTTGTCGCGATGCAGCTCCGCGATCTTAAGCTTACACGCCATATCCTCATAGCGCCCATTAAGCTTATGGATCTGAGCGTTCTTCGTGAGCAGCTCGTTGGTAATGCGCCCGAGATCACTATTATTCTGCGATTGCAGCGACTGCAAGCTGAACGCGTTCTTGGCCGTATTAAGAGTGTTCTCGAAGAGGCTGTTGCCCACCGAGCTGCTGTTGATGTCGTCGCGAATGGTGTTCAACTCGGATATCCTTACGGAAGGGCTGATAGACAAGCCGTCGCCGAAGCCGGGCGAGATGATCCGAGACGGAAAGAAGAGGCTGCTATCGTTTTGGGTGGCCGAGAGAGAGTTGCTGAGCTTATTAGAGCCGCCATAGTTGAATGCGTCCACATTGAAGAGATTGGTGGGACTGTAGGTGAGCGAGCTGCTGGGAATGTTGACGGCGAATCCACCTGAGTTGAAATCTGTGCAAACAGAATGACATTTAGCGATTAGTTGGCCAACTAAGCCTGCCGACAACTTACCGTTAATTGAGTTACTTAGAGTCGTATTAGGAATGTTAATTGGCGCCGAGGAACGTGTTAATAAGCTAGTATTGGCCAGACTCGCCGACAATGAGTTCTCGCGCGGATCGTCCAGTGAGCAAGCTGCTTGCAAAGAAGACATATAAATTAGTGAGAGTTTCAAGACGTGAACAGACCGGGGCGTTTGCTGTCTGAGCGCTAACAAATGTCCACAACCAACATTTAGAGTTTAGTGAATATCGGATTGCAACTTAGGTGTACTTGTCAGGTGTCATGACTAAAATACTCACAACGACTGTCCAGGGGTCGTGAGAAATTTAAAAATTTGCTGGAATTTGTCGTGTTTTCCAAAGCATCTACCAACATTTTATTGGTACTATTACCACCAATGTTCAATGACTACGAAGAGAACGAAACGAAAAGAGAAGAAAAATCGAGGATCGCAATGAGAGCAGGCCACAGACTTTAATGGATTGGTGAGGGTGTTAGGCTGTTAGCTGATGTGGTTAGCTGGATTAGCGCGACTGACGATGTCGGGTAGTATGTGGGGGTTAGGCGATGCAAATCGCCGGCTGGATGAGTGTTACTGTTTTGGTCATACGTACATTGTCGCCCAGGTGGAGCACATCCTGGGCCTGTAAGTCGGGCAAGGCATTGGAAATGAGCTCGCACAGGGTTAGCTCGTGATCCCGCATCTTCTCCTCGGCCATAATACAAGCTTTTGGGTTGGGAATGGTTACATGGGCAAGCGACACCGAGCGGCAAAGCGAACATTGATTGATGGATTGATGCATTGGTATACAAAGGAGTCGGTTCGAGGGTTTTCAGATTTTAGAAAGATTTGCGGGTTGATTGATGCGCAGAAATGGGAGGCGAGTAAAAGATAAACATAGGGTTAGAACAGGAAAATCATAAGATAAGCCTAACGAATTTCCCTACTACAACTGGTTGTGACGAACAGCGCTGAAAGCTAAGGTTCTCAGAGGCTCTGGCTCTGCACTTACGTTCCACGTGGGCAAAGGCGCAGAAGACGCTGCGCGGGCAGTAGCCGGCCTGCTGGACGTCGTTGCACTTGGTCGACTTGTAAATCTCCGGATGGAACTGCTGCTCGGTGCGAGTGTGACAGTACTGACAGTTGTCGCCGGCCTCGCAGTTGCCCGGCTCACCCCACTCCTCGCCGTGCTTGACATTGGGACAAGGCGTGGACCTGGAACAGAGTTTAAGGCTATATTTTCTGCACTCTGATTTAAAAAGGAATTACCCACCTGTACTTGTACTTCCTCGGCGAGCGGCGTTTGTCCTTGCTGTTGTGGTACTGCGGACAGGCGTATCCCTGGCGGCAGAGGCGCGGTGGGCGCTTGCACGGCTCCGTCTTGTAGTTGGCCAGGACGTAGTTGGTGTCCTGCCACTTGGGATCCTCGTTCATCAAGTTGCGCTCCTTGTCCAGGGCGTTCAGCGCGTTGGTGCTGTCCAGCGTGATCTCGGCATTTTGCAGGGTCTCCAGCTCTTTGATGTCGTAGACCGGTGGGCGCTGGTCCTGCATGCCATGGGCGAAGGCGCAGTGTAGTCCGTTCTTGACGCAGTAGCCCCGGCTGTCGGTGTCGTGCACGCACATGCATGTCTTGTAGTAGCGCAAATGGTAGCGTCGCTCAGTGTCCCCGGCGGTGCGGTGGAGGAAGGGGCATCTGCGGGGTGGGATGAAGGCATAAACGAGATTAGAGGACTCTTCAGTGACGTCGTAGCTGGCTCTAAAAATAGACGCGCGGGAGGGGCAGGGGGTGGGGGCCTCGAGTCTGGGTCATAAAGTCTGCCCACTGTTTTTGTTTCGTGCAGAAAGTAATTGCGTTTTACTTTTACCCTGCTCTCGCGCTTTGGCGAGCTTTTCTCCAAAGCTCGACAACCACAATAACTGTACATTTTGAAGCTGCCGGGAGAAAAACAAAATAAACGCAGAAGAAAAAACGCAAAAGCGAAACGCAATAAAAACAATGACGCACACACTTGTAGCAGTTGGCGTGGCGTGCGTGTGTGTGCGTACACTCCGCGTATGGTTGTGTGAGTGGGAGCAACAACCACCACCAAGGCGACGGCGGATGCTGATTAGAATTTGCCAGCCCAATCGCTGGAATCACTTTCACTTTAGCTGTGTGACCTCGCCTACATACACACATACACACACACAGCGAATTTCACTTTTAGCTTTCCGACGACGCCAAGCCCCCCGAAACGCCCGCACCCAGGTTTTTGTTTGTAAACACGAAGACAAGAGATACACACACATCGCCAAGGAACGAGGCGCAAAGAGGAAACGAAAAAATACTACGTCGTTGCTATCGCCGTCTCATACCCGCACTGCACAGCCCCACCGCCAACAAAGAATTTCGCCAGAAGGCTCCAGGACGCGAATTACAATACTCACTCGTCTCCCTCGGGACAGATGCCTGTGGTCTCGTCATATTTGGTGCAGTAATTGTCGGCGCTGTAGTTGAAGGTGCCATCGCGTTTTCTCACTGGGCGACGACGCCGCTGGTTCTGAAAGTGCCAATTGAAGCAGACGAAGGGCCGATGCTGATTGCATTTGTGCTGCAGGAAGGACTGGCACTGCTCCACGCGGAACTCCTTCAGGTAGCTGCGGGCGGGGAAAATACGGGGTCAATCTGGCACCTGGACACTCTCAATTTGTTGCTATTTACGTGTAGTGGTTGGGTTTTTCCTGCTGCGAAGACAGCAGCAGCTTGTTCGTATCGTTCGCCATTTTCCTGTTTTTGAGTGTGACCAGGCACTGCTGAGCAGTGTGTCTGTACGAACATTTTTGTTCCCCCTAAAAAATGACAAACAAAAATCTCCCTAAAAAATCCAACCACATCTGATATTCGAACCACACAGAATATTCGAACCACACCTGAGACTCGAACCACATCTGATCCTACAACCTTCCAATTTGAATAGGAATTTGAATTCAATTCCGTTAAAAGTGCATACTTAATTCAACAATTACAATAGCTCTTCCGACTGTCAAATATTGAGATTAACATCAAAGTCACAATTCTCCATTTCAGATTGGACCACAGCATTCCTCTGCTTCCACTCTCTCAACTCACTCCTGCACATGCGCTTGAAGAAGAAATGAGACGAGATGCTGGACGGGATGACGGTCGACCTGTTGCTCCAGCCTCGCCGTTGTTTACGCGCTATTTGTTTACTCAGTCAGCGCGCTGCACTCGAGCCAAGAGCACTATTACTGCAAGTAGTTGCAATACTTTCGATCTTTCGCCAATGAAAACAACTTCTTGCTCTGGCTTTGCGATTAGCCTTAACGCGCCTGACAAATTGCGCCGTCTCGGCATCGCCTCGTTAGTGCCGCCGCGTGTGCATCTCATAAAAGTGAGGATATAGCGACAATGCCAACCAGATGCTAATCAAATAGTTATTGCCACCGAAGCGTTAAATTACCCATCACAATCACCTCAGGGGGTGTCAATGCGGACAAAGACAATACCTCTCCGCTTCGGTTATCATCAAACTAGAACAATTCCATCTGGCAGATGAAAAATACAACTGTCACAGTCGATCTGCTTACAATTCTTAAGCTTTGACTGTTGAAAATGGTGAGAGAAATACATGGAATCTTACATTTTGCAATGATTTCTTAATTAAAAGTAAGTAAAGTAACATTACCTGTAAAAGATCAGAAATCTTTCTGCTATATGTGTTTGGAATGTTTTATAAAAAATATAAATCTCAACATAATGGAAGTCTAAAAATTATTTCTTTCAATTATCTAAACCAATATTTAGTTTACAAATTGACAGCCAAGTGCAAATTATTGAATTCGTGATTCTGATTTCCATTTTCTTAAATAGTTCATTTCTAAATTTAAAACGGCACACGCCCGTTTCATTCACTCGATACTCTGGTATACACCATCCCATGGGTTAAATATAATTGAAAAAATGTTGTTGGTTTTTAGAATTTTTCAATTTCTCTTGGGTCATTGGCTAATAAGCGCGTGAGCTGTGGCCGGCTGTCCAGTCACGAGTACCACCTGTTGCTATTCAAAGGCGTCATGTTTTGGTCGGCTGGAAAAAATCGGAGAGCCTGACAGATGTCAGCCACTACGGTCAATAAATAAAGACAATGGTCTTTACACTGTACAACTTAATTCTGTCTTTTTTTGTCTTGTCAGAGGATCTTCACAGCGATCAACTTGCACGAGGAAAGTCTTAGTCTCCGAGTCTGCATTCCTTGACCCTGGAGAGATATCGCTGGTGTCCATCAAATGCCCGTCAAGAAGTCCAAGTCCATCCATATCGGGGAATGGACAAGTGACAACCCGCATGTGTTTACCCCTCATAAAAGTTTCAACCGAAACACAATTCATTTATTGTGTGGGAAGTGTATTTTTCGCCTTGGAAAAACATTTCCATAGAAAAGGAGGAGAAAATACAATTCCCAGACGAATGATGAAAGCAGGAACTGTTTATTCCAAAATTGAAATTCAATCGAGATTTCACTGATTTTTGGCCGTGGCCGTGGCCGTAGTCTTGGAGTAAATAGCCCGATAGATGAAGAAGCCAACGGCCCCGTGTACGGCCACCACTGTGCAGATGGCCGAGATAATGTCCGCGTCGATGTGGGCGAAACTCTTGAGGACCACAAACTTTAGGGCAAAAAATGTGGCAATGGGAAAGCCGACGATCAGGGCGCAGTAGGACATGAGCAGCAGGACGTTCAGCACGGGACTGTGCTTCGGGACCTGCGCCGGCACCAGAGTCTCCCAGTCGGAAAACACCACCTGCTGCTCCATGCCCGATAGCTCTTCCGCGAAGATCAGGCGTAGGATGTAGCCGGTGATTGGGACGTGCATCACGATGACCGTGGCAACGGCCGAACCGATGGCCACATTGTTATCGGGGTCAGCGGGATAGAGCGGCTCCAGAACGAAGAACTTAAAGCCGCTGTAGATGAGCACGGGACTTACAAGAAACACGGTTACAAAGAGAAAGAGTTGCTGCATCCCACCTATCAGGCCCTCGGCTCTTTTGTTCTAGGGGAAATCAAGCAGAAGCTAAGAATCTATTATGGAACTCTTCCTTTTAAAATGTTTACCCTGGCATGTGTTCCTGTTTCCAAACTCGACAAGTCATTCGAGCAGCCGGGCTCTTGAGTGGAGATGGCTACCTCGGTGCCTGGATAGACCCTTCGCATTTTGGCAAACATTTTCTTACAGTCCTAACTGGTCATAGATTATTGTGGCAAGGCACACTTTGATGGGGTCTTAACTGCATAATTAGAACTTTAAAATATATATGATAAAAGTACAATACTGCCCTTTTATTTTATAAATTCAAAAATTGCTAATTCCTAAAGTACTATTATTTTCCCAAAGCATTTGACTTTGAAGCATACTTTTCCCCACTGAATTGTACTTAATACCACAGGAATGCTCCTAAGCGGCGTGCCATTAGGGGATTTAAGGAGTCAACAAACATCCACTTTTAGCTCGGCATAAAGATTGCCACCGCTCGAGGCAGAAATATCTGGTCCCGTGACCAGACATGACTGTATAATAATTAGCCTTAACCACCCCAGTAGCCAGAAAAAGACTTCTTCAGATTAGATAGGTGCAATTAACTAGACCGTGGAATCCGTCGGAGAGAAGAGTAGGGTCCATCGGACCACGGCCTATCTGGCCGATAAAGCTCTCCAATCAACGTCGTGATTTTTATGGGCTCACTTGACTTGAATACCGCGCCCTCGATTTATGGTTAAAGATTAATTTTTGGCCAGCCCCTGTCCTGGTCAGCTGACTGCGCGGGGCACGGTGTTTCCCCAGCACAGTACATGAGTAAACTAGGTAGAAATCCAAAAATATAGAGGAGTGCAAATCAATTGTCGGAATTACCATTGTCATAGTCGATATCGGTGCGAAATGTTCATAGAATAATGCATATTTATTGAGCATTCGATAGGGGAGGTATTTTAGTAGATGAGCAAAATTACTGCTAGAAAAAGTCCCTTAAAAAATATATGACTTTCTTTAAAATTAAACTTGTTACTCATGTTCAAGAACTTATAAACAAAATACTTTAAGGTCGAAAATTTCTTTAAGATTGCATAGATTAGCTAAGATGTCCATGTACAGTTATCATGCTTAAATTTCTTATCTACTTGCCTTCATATATTACTCATACGCAACGTTGGCCAATCGATTTAAATGGAATGGCGCCCTAGCAGAGCTTCTAAAAATAAAGCGATTACCAGAAGGGGAATATAATGAATGGGCTTGGCCTATATATGTATATTGTATGTATATATATGGATAATCCACTCTACTTGAGTCATGCAAATACAATAACACTGTTATCAGTCGGCTGAGCCTAATAAATATTCTAATAATATACATTTTGAAAAGATAAAGAAATGCCATATTTGTGTTTTGGTTATTTTTATGGTCATCCGATCAGTTAGGATCATATCGGTTCAGTTGCCAAGGGAGGCGGTGGCGGTGTCCCAGAATAGAACAGCTCTTGTTCTAGCCATGCTTTATGGTCTGCCAGAGATCTGGCCCTCATCCAAACGGCCACAACAGCTGCGGGGAAGGCGCGAAATTAATGAGATTTATGCCAAGTTCACACATATGAATCGGGTCAGCTTCGCTTCGACAGGTTGACATGTGGATCTCGAATGGCTGCTCATTAGTCCGGGATGCTGCTGCTGCTCATGCAAATTGCACGACAGCTAATGGCGTAACTATTTGCTATTTCACTCCTACTGGGTATCCCGAGGGATGGTAATCAACGGACCGCATCCGGATCCGGATCCTTCTGGCTCGACTCGACTCGCCGTGGCCTTCAATTGGAGCCCGAAGTGCAGCGAGTTACTTATTCATGCCTCTGTTTGCTGTCACTCGTACGCATATGTGGCCACCGGAATGGGGCAATTATGGTAATTGCCCAGTCTGGGCGTCCGCTTGTTTGCAGAGGGTGGTCATCATCCTGCCTGACCTTGACTGCAGTCTCCCCACGCTCGGGACTAGGACTCTGTGCCGCTAACCTTGACAAGCACGTTGGCCGTCACTTGAGAGTTGACCAAGTTTTATTGGTTTCCTTCGAGTGCAGTGGAAACTTTTCCCCTTGATGGGTTTAAGCTTCAAGTGCTGCTGGGAAAATAGAGGCGAGCGCTTTCCTTTGTGGCCATTGATAAGCAATTAAAAGTCGCCTGCTCGGGGGAATTTCCCCAGAAGCATCTGTGGCTCTCCCTCCCGGGGAATCACTCGATGGCTGTTGATACAGTAATTCAGCTGTCCATTATGCGATTTGCATACACGTCCAGGAGTGTTTTGTTTCGGGATTTAAAGAGCCACTTACTCACTCGGGCACTTGAGGGCCACATCCATCAGGCAGGAGTGGCGGTCATGGACACGGAGAGAGTTTAACGCTCTCTCGGGGAATACAAGTGTATCCTTCGGGTGTTGCGGCAGGTCGGTTACATCAGTTTCGAGCAATCAGCATAAATTTGTTGCCCATATGGGAGCGCTCAACTTTGAACCGAATCCGGCTCTAAATTATATTGGTTGACCTTTGTTCCTGACCCCTTAAGACTCCTCTTCACCTCCGCCTCCAGAAAATGGCGGTCAACAGACGAGCTAGAAATAAATTCGGTGACATGTGATGGATGATTGCTTGCCCCGGCTTTGATGGCCTTTGTTCTCCGTCCGGGTCAATGTGGGCCGTAAAGCAACAGGATAATTCCTCTGATGAGGGCCAGCTTCCTGGGGCATTAAATACTACAGCAATAAATAAAGGAAATTCAATTAAATGCGTTCAGTGAATAGAAATTCAGTTGTCATTAACTTAGTCACATTAAAGCAGTTCATCTTAGATTACGTTGATCCTTAACATAAAGGCCAAACTAAACATAAAAGATAATATTTACCATAGACCAGGAAATAGTTCATATCTATTTTGGTTTATGTTCTAATATTTGGCATTTGCTCTGGGGGTAACATACTTCCTTACTCCTAAAAGTATCTTTTAGATAAACCAATCAGCCAGCAGGCCAAACAGTCGCAATCTAAAGTCTGAACCTAATCAAATATATTTCAAACATCAAGGCACGCAACACACAAACCGATGCCTGGATCTCCAAGGAAGAGATAAGTCCATGCCAAGTGCCGTAAATCGCCTGTGCTTGCACTTGTTGCAAATATTTACCCGCGAATCTGTCAGCGAAAAGCGGTGCTGAGTCAACAGTAGTCATGCGCCATATATGAGCGCCACGAATATCCAGATACAGATACAGATACTGGGCCAGAGACAGATATAGATACGGGTGTGACAGCGAACAATCCCGGGACGGTCGCGAGTCTGAATTTATGAACATGGATAGAGCATTGTTGACCGGCGCGGCGTGACAGGGAAGCCATCAGATGTCGCCCAGCTCCCAGCCAAACACGGTCGATGTCATAATCATTCGAGCATTTCCTGAGTTTACTCCTGAATTAATGCCATTAGTGTTTAAACTCCGGAGAAAATGGCTTTAGGCCCGCCACTGACTCCCCAAAGTCAGCTTTGGCCGGTCGTAAAACTTGCTTAAGATCTTAATTCTCCGACCAGCCGGCTCATTAACATTAAAGTGACCGCTAAGTCACAAGGGAAACTCGCACACTTTAGATTACTTTGGATTAGGGAATCATGGATGACGCCCACTGGCCAACTAAGTAGAAGCTGTTTCCTGGGACACTCGGCACAGGCGCTAACGTCAAGCCATATCAGCTGATATCGGCAGCAAATCGAGTATTTCTTGGCAATTAACCAAAGTAGTTCAAGATTTAATTTGGTAATCAATCACAATGATCTTTAATTTCTTTATTTTTCTGGCCTAATTAACATTGCCAAAAAGAAGTTATTAGAAATAAAGCTATGCTAAGGAGACTAGTCATAAAATGAAATGCCAAGATCCTTCAAGAGCTCAGGAAATTAATTCTTTAACAAATTGTGGAGCATTTATCTACATTTTCCTTCAGATTACCGTTTCTCTCCTTGAAAAACATCACGAACTGCTTTGGCCAATTAACTTTGAAGGCTCCATTTGCTGTGTCAACTCAGTGCTCACTCTTATTTGGCCAATAAATCTTCAGCTTTAGTCTATATAAAAAAATCTATTTAAGTTTCGTTCGCACTGAGGTGGGCCTTGCAGTTGTGGCACGTTCTGGCTACAGAAGGATTTCCATCGTGGGTTCCTCTCACGGGCATCCCGAGTCCTAGGTCACTCCTGGGCAGGATGGCATGCAAATGGCGAGCTATGGTTAGCCCACTTTTGAGGGCCGTGTCATGCGATGCCAGGCACCCGTCGGGTTCAACAGCCGCCGAGAGGTCAAGAAAGGACGTCATAGAACTGGTCCGCATCCCTGCCCTCTCCCCTTCTCTGGAATGCACGGCACACAATGACATTGACGTGAGCTGGCTAAGCTGGCGCTTAGGTTGCGGGTTGTAGGTACCAGGTGTTAGCCACCTTGCCACCGATTTAATGCAACTGCTGGCCCATCCGCTGTACGTGCCCGCACTCAGTTATTGGTCAGCGCCAATTCATGCAACTTGTTAGCCAAGGCCTCAATTCGCCTGCCTGCTGTTGGCTAAAAATAGTCACAAATAGAAACTAGGTCGCCGGCGCTTGGCAATAGGAAGCTATAAAGGGGGCAAAGGATAATAAAGAGGATTGTTTATTTATTTAATAAATATTTTACAATAAATTTAGGCATTTTTATTTATTTATTTATTTATTTAATGCTAACTAATAGTTATAAACTAAAAGTTAACAAAGGATAATGAGCAATGGCTACCGAGGCCTTCCGCTCTACAGTGTATTAACAAAGATATGTGTGTGGAATATGTTATAATTAAATTTTATGTATGAGATTCATTTTGTGTAGAAAGTATATAATTTTATTTGAGTTTGCTGCTGTTGGATTCGCAAGGAGATGGATTGGGTTATCATTGGAAAAGCAAATTGTTCTAACATGTGAAAGTGCAGTGCAGTCTATTAAAATGTGTTGGATGTCTATCGCTGAGGTGTTGCAAAAGGGACAGATACTTGTTAGGGATCTATTCATATAATGGGCGTTTGTGAGTTGTGTGTGTCCTAGTCGTAGTCTATTTATTATAATTTGTTGTTGTCGGTTGAGGTTTGTGGTTTTGAAAGAGAAGTTTGCTGGGGTGTTTAGTAAGATCTGTTTGTACCATTGGGAAGTTTGTGATTGAAGACTGTTCAGTTTATCGGT